TAATAACAGATGGTTTTCTTCTGTTCTAAACAGTCAGTGTGCCTTCAGGTAATCAGGTAAAGGCAAAACAGCTCTTAGCTTAATTTAGATGGTGGCGATTAGTTAAACCTGCCACTGTGATCCTTATTCACCTGAACCAAGAAAGCTGTAAACCAATACCTTTCTTTTCTAGCCTTACGTCATGGACTTGCGTAGTTTCTCCATTAGCAGAGACAAATCCAGAGATGAGTCTTGATAATACGGTCACTGGGATAACCTTTCAAAATGAACATGTCTGACCTCGTAAAATCTTGAATCTGACTATTCTCGTCACAGATAACCCTTTCTAGTTTTAATATAATTAATAGGAAGCAATAAACATGGTGGAATATATCTTTTCCCAAGCAATCCATCACTGTTTCGTGCAGAGATAACAGTTAAAAATAACTCTAAACCTCAAAGGACCTTCCAAACATCCCCAAACACTGCTGAAATAGGCATGGATGAATTTTGACTGGCATAAAGGAAGAAATAACTAGCAATATATAAATAAAAGTGGCCCTTTAACAATCCCCAACACAGCCATAAATAAAACAGAAATGGAGTCGGTCCTCTTTAATGCAATTGGCCTGCCCATTAGAGCAAGTCTGGAAGCCTTGAAGAGAATATTTCATCCTCAGAAGAGTGGAATGGAAAGTGTATATGGAAAAATGCAGATTATGGCATCCGTCAAGCAGGATGACAGCTGTGCAGTGGGGAGGGGAGGGTGTGTTAGGGGTTAGAGAGGATTATGTAATCCTCTTGAGATTTTTACGCTTCAACCCCCTAATGATGCTTCACAGGGCTAAAACGAAAAATTCAAGAGGCCTGCTTATCTTCAACAATATCCCGTTCACAACCGGCATTTATTAGAATCCAGGAGTATCTTAACTTGTCATATAAATGATAATGCCCTGATCTTATCTCCTGTGGTTTCCTTCCAGAGCTTTATTGTCATCACAAAGTTCACTTTTAGAAGACTCATTGTCCTGCTCTGCCTCGAACTTCCTCTCTTAAAGTGATCTGCTTTTGTATGTGCAAGTATGTGCCTCAAGCATCAAGTCATGTGGTCATACTGATTTATGGTCAATCAATAATTTTATGATGCATATGTTATGAATGCAAGTCAAACAAGTATTTATACTGTTGTTTTCGTCCATGTATCAAATAGGATGACTAGCTGTTGTAAACAAATGTCCATTGCCTGCCACTAGTCTACAAATCTAAATATTGCACCAGTAAATGTTGTTTAAATGCATGCAAATGACAAGATGAACAAAATTATTTGTTAAGCATTCGCATTAAATCAGTTTGAAAATAACAGTTCTTTGTACTCAATAATCACAAAACCTGTTGTTACAACGTTGTAGGTGGTTGCCAAGGTGTTGCTATGCGGTTTCTAGGGTGCTTCCCAGTATTTTGGTCTCTAGATATGATTCTGGTCCCTCATTTATTCAAATCTTTGGGCTTTTTGCCTGTTTTAGGCATATGATAATAGCACACTTCTGAATAAATTGCAAAATAACAGGTTTCGTCCACGTGCATAGAGTGCTGAAGAGATGACATCCCTTCTTAGGACAACTCGGACGCTAGCGGCGCATGGGTTCCCTCGGTCGAAAAGCTATGCATTTTCCCCATAGACTTTTGGAAAATTTGTGTTCAACTAAGAGCTGTGACCCTTACACGTTTTGTCTATCAAGACAATCTTTACAAGTTAATCCAAAATGTATACATTTTGAAGCCTATATAAAGATTTCAAAAAACACAAGCAGACACAATAAAGTTTAAAAAACCACAAGCAGGTTATAACTGCGTGTTCTATGTCATAGATCAAAACGTGAAAATATTTAGAGGCTTTGTTCACCACAGACCTTATTTCAGGCGAATTAGCAAAAACCCATTCAAAAATCCCATAGGCTTTAGAGCGAGGCAACCGGGAGTGCTAAAATGCTAACTTCCGCGTTTTGGCCTACAGAGTGACGTCGTAACTTCGGGACTCTATCGTTTCACAGTAAATTGATTTTTAGGGTTAGTGATTTTAATGTACATTTAACCCCAAGAATGTGCACTAGTCATGCTTAAAGGGATACTCCACTTTTTTTGGAAATAGGCTCATTTTACCACTCCCCTAGAGTTAAACAGTTGGGTTTTACCGTTTTCTAATGTATTTAGCCGATTTTTTGATATTTAGAAGAATATCGCTAACCAGACAGTTTCTGGTCTCATTGACTTCCATAGTATATTTTTTTTCCTACTATGGAAGTCAATGAGACCAGAAACTGTCTGGTTAGTGATATTCTTCTAAATATCAGAAAATCGGCTGAATGGATTTGAAAACGGTAAAAACTCAACTGTTTAACTCTGGGGGAGTGGCCAAAAAAAGTGGAGTATCCCTTTAATTCAAACAATGGCACTGATATCACAGTTAAACCAGCAAAAACAATGCCTGTAAAAACAGTGTAACCCACTACTGTGCACTGACCTCTTTGTGTTGAACATTCTGAGTCCTTGTTATCCTGTGTTGGATGGGTGACACAATGACAGCGATAGGCCAGCTCTATGGAGTGGACCTGTAGGAAGAGAGTATGGTTACAGGGTGAGGTTCAATCAACATCTCATGGTATCAGGTTTAAGAAAAATCCAAGAACCAATAACCTCATCTCTTTAAGGGGTGTGACCTCTATGGATGAGCAAATTACAACTGACACAACAGTCTTGAACAAAATCATTGGGAGCTGGACAATGTTAGTTTTATGTCCACTAATTGCCGACCAGATGGTGTTTACCAAGGGATTAGTTTGTAGATTTCCAGTCTACAGTCTTATCTTTGCTTATATAACTTTCCCAAAGAGCAGAAGAAGACAAGTCAATGATCATTGTCCACTTTGCTTGGAACCACTAGAGCTATCTCTATGCTAACTCAATTATACTGTCAATAAGAAACCAAGGATCAGCTTTAATTGACCTGCCCTAAAGGCTATTAAAATGCTAATGACTATAATTTCGTTTTTTTCCACTCTCTATTTGAAATGCATGATACTGAATATATGAATATTCAAATATTTGCAGACACCTGCCTTTGCACAGGCCTTATTTCAAGGTCCTAAAACATCTTGTGCTTGTCAAAATCTTTGTTAGCTAATAAGATCAATGGCGAGATAAGTCATTTGTCAACTAGGGCTGCCCGTCCAAGCAGAGTTCATCAATAATGTACGAATACGGCCGGTGTAAGACGTAGGCACTGGTAAACCCTATGTTATTCTGCTAGTTATGAACCTACCTCAACCAAAGCATGGTTAAACTATATTTTTTAACACATCAAGCAAAAGAAAATGCGTTTAATCTCTGGGATTGGTTTGGGAAGGTAGAAATCAGCACACAATGGTCACCAGAAATAGCATGGCTCCTGGTCTTAATATTGATGAAAAGAAAAGGAGATTTTAAAGGAGACTGTTTCAAATGCCCCTCGTCTTGGCGGTAATGGATAACTTTATGAATAGAAATGGATTTTCCTTTAATTGAGGATGACCTTCTGGCCATCTGGTTTCATTAGAGTGAGCCACAGCACGAAAATGACAACGGTAATTGTTCTTCCTGTGATGAAAACAGATCCAGTGCAATATAATCCAATTGCCCAAGACCATGACTAAACATTGAGGATTTCAGGCTGACAAATACATTCACAGTATTTTGCCTATGAATGCATTCAATCCATTGCAAACTATATATTCAAAATGCAGTCATCATAATAACATTAAACATACTGGGTCAAATTAAATGTACTTTTATGTGCATGTTGCAAGGTATAAATACAAAGTACGCTGTTTTGCATTGGATCAAAAGTCACTAATGAGCCTCATTAATAAACATCTGGTCTATATATCACACAACAGCAGGGGACGACCAAAGCGCACCAGGATTGGAGGGACGTCGTGGCCCCTGTGAGAGAATAACTAGACTCATTTCTTACAGATGCTGGGTTTAGCCAAATACTTTATGAATGGCAATTTCCACCACAAGTGGATTAGAACAAGACATTCTGAACCGCACTAGGATTAAATACAAATATCTTTTTGGTCATTCAATTATTTAAGACACATAAGCTTGCCGGGTTTCTCCTAAGAGAATAGCACAGTTTCAACATTTATTATAGATGCATATGCAAACTTGAGTCACTGCAGCTAGTTTATGGATTATCTACAGCAGACTTCAAAACTTTTCACAGTACCAACATACTAGGAAAGAGTGGGACAATGTGCCACTTTAACTTAAGTTCCCATCCAGCCAGGCACGAATAAATTATATAGAATTTTATAGAGAAATTATATACATCTAAATATATTTCAGAGTGTCTACCAGGGTTGGGTATCGTTTGAATTTGAACGATTCTGATTCCAATTCCGATTCCTTGTTTCGATTCCGGTGTTCTGTCGATTTGTCCTACCTTGTCAGATTTTCCTACCGTAGCGCAAAATTATAGCCATATCTATCGGTTCATCCTACCTCGTCGTAAAATCCTACTGAGCGTTTCTGCTTCGTTTTACATAAAATATTTCTGTGTAACTTTGCCGAATTTTCTTATTAGGCCATGTTACGGTGATTTTACAGTGCAAAGTAACGTTACCTCTTCAGATTGTCCTATGAATTTAACGATAGGATGATTTTACGTTGCAAAATACCTCATCAGATTGTGCTACCAGTATGAAATAAACGAGTAGTATGATTTTACAGTGCAAAATGCCTCATCAGATTGTCCTACCAGTATGAAATAAACGAGTAGAATGATTTTACGTTAATGTTTTTATGAAAAAAATGCTAATATGAATTTGCTTTGTATGAATGTGAGAGTAAACAGTTCTCATTACTGCTATATAGCTTTGTATAGTAATAATTGACAAAAATAGTGAAAAACTTACCTCAGATGAATAAGATCTCGCGCAAGTAGTAAAATATTATGGGCGTGTTGTTCAGCATGACAAAAAATGACGTATTATTGATGTGCGCATGCGCAGTAAGCCTTGGTAGGACAATCTGACGGGTAGGATGGAATGTCAGAACACCTGTTCCTAACGATTCTCGATTTCGATTCTTTTAAGAGGCAGGGTCAAAAAAGTTTAGCTAACCTTGTTAACCAACGGTCTTTCTGAAGGAAATACTCCTTCTATCACAAATACTTGTCACAAATTTTGCATTTTGCCGAGATTTCGTTAATTTTTAGAAAAGTGAAGCCACATTTTGGACCGCCGACGTAAGCTACTCATGTTCGACTCGCGCGGTTATGCCAACACTTCCGGTAGACGCTTCTTCGTTGGTGTTGTCCAGCAGTTTCTTCTTCCACTCGGCGGACTGTGAATATCGAAACTAGGAATTGAAATTTTAACTTTTGAACGATTCCGGGAAAAACGAAAAGTTAGTCCCGGTTCCAATCGATACTCGATTCTCGATACCCAACCCTAGTGTCTACTCTGCTAACGGAAATGAATCGCATTCCATGTGTTGTCTTATTTTGCTGCACTAAAGCACTAAAAAAAGTACTTGGAATATTAAAAAATAATTGTAATCACATTTCTTGCTTTTGGAGGCAAGGTTTATTAATTAATAACCCATATTAATCAAGTCACTGACACACATTATGAGCTACCTAGTGGTACATACTTCATTTAATAAATTACTTTTAAGGAAATGGGGGGGAAAAACACTGTATTTTTAAATAATTAAACACCAAGTTGGTATTGTGGCTTTATATATGGTAGGATACTTGAAAGCGTTATTATACCAAAATCAAGCTCAAATGGAGTTACGATATTTTTGACCAGCGAATTTCGAGAATTTTGACATAGGTCTATGTCTTGTCCGTCATAAAAACAGCCACATCTGAGCATTACGTTTTCCCAAACTTACAGGTTGATTGTAGTTTACTATGTGGGCACACAGTTCATTCTGTCATTTGCCCAAAATCTTGTGTAATTAATAAAATAAGACTAAGACACTCTTCTCCACTCCTCAAATACATAAAACATTAAGCCGTTAAATATATTGTGTTTCTTGACTAAATAAAAACGCCATAGCTCTCTATTTACTCTTGCATTGCAAACAAGCAGAGATGGCCCAACCTGCGTGTGGTAGGTCTACTTCATTCATTCACAATAGAAGCATATATTTTAATTACATGGCTAATTCTCAAATTACAATTTCTGATTTCAGCACTGGACAAAGACCAATGTCCAATGAGAGTTCACAATCTAGACAGCAATAATCTGCAAATCACATGATTTCCTTCTATAAGCATATGTTGACGTCTCAAATCTCAAGTATCTGGTCTACATTAATATCTACTATGGAATCCTAAGAGAGAAACACGATTCACTAAAAGCTCTTGCTGGCAAACACGATGGCAGTATTTAAGTGCAGCAGCCATGACCAATGACCATGGAAGAACAATAAGCGTTTTTATGTAACAGGGCTAATTTACAGCGAAACATGCACATGCACAGCACTCATCAATAAAATGAATATTACAGAGCCTCTTCAGTTTGTGAGTGCCTAGCCACTGCCCTCTTTAGTCATTTCAGTGGCTGGATCTTTAAAGCAGTGTGTCTAAGCCAGGCAAACAGACCATCCTCTTTGGTAATTTATAGACAGAAGCTGTAATAATTCACAGGGTTTTTCTATTGCAGCTTTCCATGAGTGTCCGGCTGGATGTGAAAGCACTGCTGCTCTGAGATCGATCAATGAATGAGGACATAACAACAGCGATACAGCATCTCCGAGTTTCCATTACACTGAGTTTGCATCAAAATCTGCTGTTTAATGAAATACCAATCTGATCATGCTGAGGCACTTTAACCCAAACAGTGAGAAAAAAAGTACTGTGATGGTATCACTATCAGATGGTAATATTAAATATTAATATTAATTAATTATTAATTTAAAACATAATTACCATGTTCATGCATCATGGTATTTAGCAGCATACACATTCTACAGTACTTCAAAGAATACCATAGTAATACCATGATACCTTTTGGCAGAATAGATTAATTTGTACCTCGTAAGATTCAATGCCATATGTTTAAAATGCATGACCAGATGAAATTATGATAGAGAGTAAGGGGAAAGCTTGCATATTTACAGATTAACGAAAGCATTTTACAAGAAATTAGGTTGTTTTTTTTTTCATTATGGATTAGCCATCTGGAAATCTATACTGAATGAGTGCAGGTATATCTATGAAAGTGAAATGAAGTATCTTTAAGTCAAAACAGTCAAAAATTATAACTTTCCTCAAAAACAATACATAAATGCATACCAACATACATAATTATGATGTAAACTTCCTTTCTGGGTTCATTAAAATTATACACCCCAAAATAAATACTTTTATAATAAAGAATACATGAAATGCAATGCATAAAATTAAACTATTGAGCAGATGTTGTATACAATATAGTCATAAATATAGGCAATTTATATCCCAAAATATCCCTCCTGTCAGCTAAAGCTCCAAGAAGAAGAAAAAAGTATATTATTTCCAAGACTGTTATTCCTCAACGGCTGCTGCCCCAAGAAACAGTAAAGTTCGAGTTAAATCTCCTTTTACATGTTTTCATTGTTTTATTTACATGACTCAACTGTTTATTCTTACTAGATTAAATAACAATTATCGCTTGAAATAAAAGCGCGCTTACCTTAAGCCAGGTAATGCGTCAGCAAATCCTGTGGATGTGTCATATCATGCAGTGTGTTTATGGTTACACCTGCCACAGACTACCATTCACACTGTGCCAGCATTAGCTTTCTGAGAGTGCTATTAAATGACCGGAACATACCATCACAACCTGAGGTAAAGGGGTGCGGAGGAACCCTACTGTCTATGGGACTGGGAGGAACCCAACACAACGAGACCAAATCTGAACACATGGATATGAGCTCTAAATCATGGATGTATATGAACATACAGACATTTAGAAACATTACGTACACTTAAACGCGATATTTAATGGTACAATCAAAGAAAAGACAGGGAATAATTTCTATGACCTCTATTTTAAAAAATGATGTTCATCCACACATCCCTTTTACACAAATAAAGACCACAAATTAGAAACAAATAAAGGTTATGTCATGGAAAAAAAAGCTCTAAAATAAGTATTATTATGATAAATGATTATGAGGAATATAATAATCATCATCATTATAAATTATAGTAAATATCATTAATAATTCAATTTAATAAAATTATATTTAATTTAATTTATTTTGATTTCCTTTAAATCAATTTTAAACAAAAGTCAGGCTGTTATTGTGAAAAGCGCCTGAAGTTCACTAACCCGGATGTTGTCAGCAGCAGAGGGCTGCAAGTGTCCTTTCTGTTTTATACACTTCTGCATGTTTGTATCCTGTAAAGATTTAACTGAATCGGGTTTTGCTCTGTTTTTTCACCCGACGGTGTCTTAAACTTTTCTTAGTTTTAACGAATGTTACTGAGCGTTTAGACACACTTTCTAACAGGTAACGTTAACTTACTGAATCCCACTTACTATCAGGTAAGGTTACTGAATCATGCTTCTGTTTTTTTTTTATTGGTCGATTCTTTCCTATAACATTTCTGTAACCCAGTGGTATCTCGTTAAAAACTGTTCACAATTATTATTTTTAATGTGTAATATGTTTTTCTAATCATAAAGTTGCAGGTTGAGTTAAATCCAATGGTTATAGATGTAAATTTATAATTAGACTACATATTAAGTATACGTAATACTATATGTATTAATCTATAATAGTATGCATATATTATAGACTATTTACACACTATTTACTAATAGACATAACACTATTTACACACCGAAAAACGCATATCTATATATCTCCAATAACCTATTGTATTAGGAATTATGTTGGATTAGCCAGTTTATTAGGTTTCTCTTCTCATTATTATTGTGCCTTTCCCAGAATGTGGCAAGATATGTGGGCAGAAATTGCCTCTCTTACCAACTTTCTTACTGTTTTTTCTTGTTCAGGTGCTTTACCCAGGTGAATGTTGGGACTTCGAGCCCTGTTTGGAATCGGTCTTCTTGTGACATCACGAGGAGGCTCTGTCCTGACACATTCAGGAGCATGTGCACGTGTTGCCAGTAACATCTACACCAAAGGTCTCGCTCATAAACAGGCTTTCACTATGGCCAATACTATTAAGTACCTGGGGTGAGTGTAAATGCACCACACTCTCTGTGTAATATAAGTGTTCACTGTCTATAACATGATATTACATTACTGTTGTTTTGAATCCATGTCAGTAATAGTCTCTCTGACATTTGAGTTTTGCTTAAAATGGGATTGTACTAATGCGTCCACAAGCTGAAAAATGCTGCCTTCATACTTGGAAAAACAGGCAACAAGCCACGTCCAAATTCAGTGATTGTGCCACAGAGGTTTTTATTTCTGGTTTCTCTCATCATAGACAAGAAGAGGCTCAGCACATTGACGAGGAGCTGTTTAACGAGTACAGCTTCAGCGTGGATCAGTTAATGGAGCTGGCCGGGCTTAGCTGTGCCACAGCCGTGTCAAAGGTACATCCGATGGTCCATCATCACGCAGAAAGGATCGCATACAGCTTATACACATAATACACAATCAAACCAGTCGTTTACTTCATAGGGCTATCCTCTGCAATCGCTGCTCAAGAGTCCACCCAGAGTTCTGGTGATCTGTGGCCCAGGAAATAATGGAGGAGATGGCTTGGTTTGTGCTAGACATCTCAAACTGTTTGTGAGTTCGAGTTATAGCTGAAGTGATCGCACCTGTTTCAAATCTTTCCCTCATTAAACTTAATATTTAATGAAGGCGTATTGATTTTATTCATATTGCATGTGAATCTCCTAGGGATATGAGCCTTCTGTATTGTACCCGAAGCGCCCCAACAAACAGCTCTTTCAGAATCTTACCACCCAGTGTGAGAAGATGGATATATCCTTCCTGACAGAGATGCCTGAGGTACAACAGGAACCTTAGCAGTCAATACCTAACCCATTTTTTACACCATGGGGGGTCCGACTTTTTTTAACCTTTCATATGGGTTCCTCCTCCTTATTAATTACTGATTAAGTAACTGCACTGAATGTCCCAGGGACATCTGACATTTCAATGTGTTTTTGTTTTTTTACCTTTACGTAAATTGATTCATGTTCATTTATTGTTTACGTTAATGGATATACATTTATGTTTTTGTATATGTACATTTAGAAGTTTGCGGTCAGTCATTTAAAACAAAAATTAGAGAGAAATTAATACTTTTATTTAGCAAGCATGCATTAAATTGATCGAAATTGGCTGTAAAGACATTTATAATGTTACAAAAAAAGATTCCTGAAAGAAAAATGTAATTGTTTCCACAAAGATATTACGCAGCACAACTGTTTTCAACATTGATAATAATCAGAGCAGCAAATCAGCATTTTAGATTGATTTCTGATGGATCATGTGACACTGAAGACTCGAGAAATGATGCTGAAAATCCAGCTTTGAATACATAACATTTTAAAATATATTCAAATAGAAAACATAATGTTACACATCAAATCAGAGACTTCTTTGAAAAACATCTTACCAACCCTAAAATTTTGATCGGCAGTGTATATGTGTAATATGTTTATACTTTGTGTCTACTATATTCTATATGTCATGCATTTTCCCATGTAGGCTGATGTGATTGATGACGCTTATAACTTGGTGGTGGACGCCATCTTTGGATTCAGTTTTAAGGGTGCGGTGCGAGAGCCATTCGGTGACATTCTCTCCAAACTAAAGAAAATCACTGTGCCCATCGCTAGTGTCGACATACCTTCAGGTGAGAATGCACACACACACACCATAATGGGTAGAAATAATCACTGTTTGATCAGCATTTCAGAGACGAGAATCTTATTTTTATTGCATAAAATGCCTGGTGATGGTCAGTCAAATAGTTTATATGCATAAATGTCACGTAATTTTGACAAAAGATGTTTATTTTCTTTCACTCTTTAGGCTGGGATGTAGAGAAAGGCTCTCTTGATGGGATTCAGCCTGATATGCTCATCTCCCTCACAGCCCCAAAGAAGGCTGCCAATCTCTTCAAAGGACGCTATCACTTCCTGGGAGGACGGTTCGTTCCTTCTAAACTTGAACAGAAGTACCAGCTGAATCTGCCTCAATACCCAGGCACTGACTGTGTGTATCAGCTGAACTGAACATTAGGCCTTCATGTCACTTGTGTAAGGAATCCAAAAGAAAAAATATACCGGTACTGATGGTTAATAACTGTATGGTTGACCATTCTGAATACTTCTGCTTTTCTTAAATTGGGTATATATGATTAATTAGCATCAATCAATAATTGTTTATGATGATGTTTAAATATATTGACTCTTTATTGCAAAGAACCAGTATGATTAGTTAAGGATTTATAAAACCTCAAAAAAATAATGGTTTTTGATGATTTTGGAATTTAGTAACTAAGCCAGAATAATTACTATATTGTTTCATGTTTAAATATATTACAGTTACATATTTATGTATGGAAATGTGTAACATTTGAACTGAAATAAAAATGTTATGCTGACATCCATAACAATGTTAATGAATATGTTTATAGACAAACAAATCAGCACACACACAGGCAATTGTATAGAGCAAGTCACACAATAAGTCCAGCATAAAATCTTATATTTATTGAAACGGCAACTTTTTGTGCCTGACTAAAAAAGTGTACTATTTCAATTCATGTAATGAATTTGAAGATTGGATACAAATATAAATAGGATTTTATAAAACAAAAAGGCAGAGAGGCATAACATACCATAAACGAACAACAACCAAAGACTGAAAACGGAGGAACTAAATACTATGAAGTGATGAAGCGAATACAAACAGGTGATGATTAGATGAGTGTGAGCCAGGAGGGATTATGGGAAATGAAGTGTGCAGGGATGAAGTGGTCTGCAGCAGTGTGAAGCTCTTCACATTTCTAAATGAATATGAAATTATTTTTGCAGGCAAGAACTCCGATCTCCGTGTTTAAAAAAGCAAAAATGTAATGCACAAATATTAATCATCTATAAACCACACATACTTTCCATGAGAAATGTCTAATTGATCAGTCCAACATATTAACTTTTTAATATTTTTTATCTACATTTTACAGACCTGAAGTGCATGTGTACTAAAATATATTTCTGTTCATTCAAACACCATAAATAGTTTTATAATACAACACAACCCATTTGTGGTTTACACATAAGAGTAATTTACATTAACGTCTAGTGGTAATTAAAAATCTAAGAACACATCATGTACATCATCAGTTCCAATTGTTTTATGTTTAAAAGTAAAAAACAAGCCACAAAATATTAACCCTAAAACACCTAGTCACCCCCCTATTGTACTCATTGCATTTACATTTAGTCATTTAGCAGACGCTTTTATCCAAAAGGAGGACTAAACCAAGCGAGTCATCGTGAAGAGGCAAAAACAAGGCAAGAAGTGCTCAAAATACAAAGTTCAGACATTGCTCGGAGTAAGCCAGATAAGTGAGGATTTAAAGGAAAAGGAAATATTTTTTTTTATCTAATGAAGGCCAAGTATGAAGAAGTACCTCCATGGTATGATGATAATCACTGTCTTTGCTCTTGATAACATTGGATGTTGTTTAGGTGCTTTTACAGCAGGACTTTCTCTCCTCCTTGTACTCGCTGGACGGGCCCAGGGTCACGGCGCAGATGGAACCTCTGGTGACCTCTTTACTAGCAACTTTCATGTGTATTGCTGATGGACGAAACATCATTGAACATTGTCTTTACGCATTTAAAGTGAGTTAAAGTCAAGAAGGATTTTAAACTTAAGGTATGAACTGGTTTTGACACCAAGATAACCCCAATAATCTTAATCAGTGACGGAGTTAAAAAGAAAACTCACCTGTTAGAACTTCAAGGAATGCAGATTCAACATTAGTTGACTCTAAAGCAGAAGTCTCCATATATAATAAGCCTTTGGCCTCTGTTTAATCAAAAAATTTAACACAACTTTATCTTAAAGTGATACTTCACCCCAAAATTCTGTCATCATCTTCATGTCTTTCCAAAACTACATGTCTTTCTTCTTCCGAACACAAAGATATTTTGATTGGGGTCCATACAACAATGAACCCCACTGACTTTAATTCAATGTGCAAAAATGTATTCCGCAGTCAAATTTAGAATGACGTGAGAGTAAAGTATGACAGAATGTGCATGGGCTGAAATGTGTAAAACAAAGGGTAATAAAATGTATTGACACCTGCAAAGTCCTTAGCCTCCTCTTTTGGTACAGTGCGTAAAGTTCCCAGGTCACTTTTATTTCCCACAAGCATGACTACTATATGAGGATCAGCGTGGTCGTACAGTTCCTTCAGCCATCGCTCAACGTTCTCATACGTCAGGTGCTTGGTGATGTCATAAACCAGCAATGCACCCACTGCTCCCCTGTAATACCTACAAGAGCCAAACCGTTCATTATTACACATACAGAAGTAGAAGTGTGTATTGGCTCAAACTGCGCTTTGTAGTTCACTATTTGGTTTACAGTGAGGAGTAAGGTACTTTTTCTCTTCCGTTAAAAGGTTAGTCAGTTTTTATTTTAGGCTACTTTCGTACAGAAAGAATTAATTAAATTGATAAAAAAGTGACACTAAAGACATTATAATATAATAAAAGATTACTATTTCAAATAAATAAATAAATACTATTCATCAAAGGATGATCAGTTTTCACAATTTTTTAAAAAAGAATGTGTTTTGAGCACCAGTTAAGCATATTAGAGGGATTTATGATCATGTGACACTGAAGACTGGAGTAATGATGCTGAAAATTCAGCTTTGCCACCACAGGAAAATAGAACAGTTATTTTCACAATATTAATGTTTTTATTGTATTTTTGATCAAATATATGCATCTTGGCGAGCATAAAAGACCTCATACGAATCATACGATTCATACGAAAAAAATCATACGAACCCCAAACTTTTGAATGGAAAGAGACTATGGAAACTATTGGAAAGAGACTATACCATAAAAATGACTATACCTTTCATTTTTCATTTTTATTTTGCTTCTCTGATAATTATATTTAAAATATAATATCATTATGTCATATAATATCATTATATAAGTAGTGGTGGTTCCCCAAAAAAGTATTCTGGATAATGTGCTTGCACTTAAAAATGTCACTGAATTAGATTCAGTGACAAAAAATATAAAACCATGGCATCTACAAACAAGATATGATACAGTAAAAGAGTTAAAAAGTCATGCAAATACATTTGGGGCCACTGTAGATCCCAGTAACATATCAATACTTTTAACTGTATACCCGGTCAAAAAAGGAGTGGTTCTGGGTGTGATGCGAATTACAACGAATTCCAAAGCCTCCAGAATCTTAAATAAGGATTCATGTGAACATACATAGATCAGAGGTATCTGTAGGATTAAAGGATAGCATGATGAGGGACTTACGCTGAGGTAATAGCCCTGTAGCGCTCTAGACCTGCAGTGTCCCAGATCTGGGCCTTGATGGTAATATTATCCACTTGAATGGAGCGAGTGCTGAATTCCACCCCAATGGTTGTACGGCTGTCATGATTGAACTCGTTTTTGGTAAATCTTGACAGTAAATTGCTTTTTCCAACCCCTGACTCCCCAATTAAAACCACTGAAAGACAACAAAAGACCAGCTTGAATTTGTTCTAATTTACAAAATTAATAAAAATCACATGTAAACACAGAAATAAAACATTTATTCATGTATTTACTATAGGCTACAGATTATTATTTTATGGGTTTCAGGTCAAAATGATCATTGTAAACACTTAAATCTGATCTCCAGTCAAATGAATCAAACTTACCTTTGAAGACAAAGTTGTAGGTTAAATCTGTCCCCATGTTCACCTTAGCTGTAATGTGTCAGTCTGTGTTTAGTGTGTACGTGTTACTCAAGCTTAAAATCCACTGGGAGGAGAAAAGCAGACGCTCAAGTTTCTGAAAAGGTTTATAAATCCATTCTTGTGCTGGTCTAAAAGGCAGATTCCACACGGCCTGACTCTTCTTTGAGACAGTTGGGGTGGGAGAGCAGGTGAAACAGGTAGAACCACTAAAACACAATTGGGAGTGACTTGACTTCATGATCTCACACAAAACTGTTAAATCAAAAGTCGCTTCTCAATCCCACAGTAGGCTACATTTATCATATTCTGTACGGCTGCAAAACAGACATAAAGCTGAGTCATAAAACCAGCCGTCCTGTATCAACAGCCTTCTCAAACCTGTCAAATTCAGAGCTTTGTTCTTGTGAAGATAAAATAAAAGGGGTCTCCTTTGTATTCTTATCACGTATAAGCAGGAATGTCTTTCTACAATACAAAAACAGATGCTAGCCCAGTGTTTCTTTAATATTAGACTGGCAGCCTTAATAGTTTTGCAGATTGATAGGTATACAAAGCTCATGGTGATATTAAACTGAATTATTTTTATTAAGGACAGTGTTGTTACTTTTGTATGACAATTGTAGCCTATGTGCTAGGTTGCTATAGATGCCCAGTCGCACAATATAGGTCCTAAAGCACTGGTATTACCGCATTGGCTTCAGTGTATGACCTTAAAAGCAAAAAAAAAAAGAAAAAAGAAAAAAAAAGAGCAATTTCACAACAAAGAAGACCAAAGGACACTGTAAATTAAAATTTGACAAATGAGTGAGCGTTCATCCTCCTGTCCTGTTGGTGGCAGCACCGCGCTGACGTGGCGCTGTTGTGTTGTTTTGTGACGCAAATCGCTACGGGGGAAAAGAAACGCTTCCGTCAGTACACACGCCGGGTTCATCATGGCGGCGGGACCGATTTCAGAACGAAATCAAGGTACAATTTATTAAATATAAATTCGTAGGGATACTTTTTATGTACTGTTCAATAAAAGTATTTCAGCTCTGTGGAAACATTTTAATCTCTTCCTGTCTTCTCTAAAAGCATTTAAGTCGCTCACTTCCATTCATTCAAATACGCTTGCTAAAATCTAATAACAAAAAAAGTTTGGGGTTTAATAATTTAGTGTATCCAAACAATATAATATTAAAACTACTACTAGTAATGATAATAATAATAGGCTTTATAATGCGTATCTTATAAACTGCCATATCTTTGTGTCCAGTGCAGCAGTGCATGTTTATTTTGATCATATTTTATTTCCAGATGCCACTGTATATGTGGGTGGTCTTGATGAGAAGGTCTCAGAGCCTCTTCTGTGGGAGCTTTTTCTGCAAGCTGGTCCTGTGGTAAACACGCACATGCCCAAAGACAGAGTAACAGGACAACACCAGGGTGAGTTTCCATATCATTGAGCGTTCAGATGAAAGATTTCTGTCGTTTTTCATGATTTCAATTGATATTGGTCTTTGTTCTTCAGGTTATGGCTTTGTGGAGTTCCTCAGTGAAGAGGATGCAGACTACGCCATAAAGATCATGAACATGATCAAACTATACGGCAAGCCCATACGAGTCAACAAGGCTTCGGCGCACAACAAGAACCTCGACGTCGGCGCCAACATCTTCATTGGCAACTTAGACCCTGAAATCGACGAGAAACTCCTTTATGATACTTTCAGTGCTTTCGGTGTGATCCTTCAGACACCGAAGATCATGAGAGACCCGGACACAGGCAACTCGAAGGGTTATGCTTTCATCAACTATGCCAGTTTTGATGCCTCCGATGCAGCTATCGAGGCCATGAATGGCCAGTATCTCTGCAATCGGCCCATCACGGTTTCATACGCCTTTAAGAAGGACTCAAAGGGCGAGAGGCACGGCTCAGCTGCAGAGCGTCTCCTGGCCGCCCAGAATCCACTTTCACAGGCCGATCGGCCCCATCAGCTTTTCGCAGACGCCCCACCGCCTCCCTCCATGCCCACACCTGTCATGACCGCCATGGGTGCAGGGATGCCAATGCCAGGTTAGATATTATGAGAGTATTGATCTGTTTCTGACATTTTTCAAATATTTGACTATTACACAGCTCTGCTTCTTGAGGGAAAAAATTCACGAGCAATTTTATCTTTTACTATTTCAGAAATAGGAACAAAGACTTTTTAAATGTATATATAATACATGCATAAATATTTATTCATGTATAAAAAAGTAATATAAAGCTTTTGGTATAACTTATAACCGAAAACACAATTAACAATATATAACAAAAGTAGACTTTTTATTTTATATATATATATATATATATATAGTAAATATTTAGTTTAACTTTCAATCTGCATAGGAGTGGAACATTTTCAAACACTTAATTTAATGTCAACGAATTTTTTTTTTCTTCTTCACAAAATCTGTAATTTTCTATAACTGATAGGATGTAGTAAAACACCCAGAGATGTAGCATGAAACATCTGCATCATGTTTGCATTTTCTTCTGTCGCTGACCATAATTCTAACCTTGACATCATGATTCAGGACATAAAATAATATCATATGCATGTGAAAAACACCTTTGTCAAAAAAAGGCAAAAATGCATGTCATATTTTGTACGAAAGTGTGACGCGTTAGAGCAAAATTTCCACTATTTTTGGAATCAGCACACCAAATTTAGTAAGAAATAGAATTAGCAAGTATTGCTTTTCATTCAGTAAATATGATGAAATGAAGTGTTATTTTTGGTACAATAAATGTCTTTTGCATCATTTTTATATTTGTATATTGATTACGCAGGGATGCCGCCTCCTGGAGCTTTCCCACCTGTCCCTCCTCCTGGCACCATGCCACCTGGCATGCCGCCTGGTATGATGCCTCCTGCGCCGGGTGGTCCTTCACAACAGGGTGGAGGGCACCCACCGGGACCCCCGCCCTTCCCCCCTGGAGCAATGCACCCACCAGGAATGCCACCAATGCCGATGCCTCCGTCGGGACCTCCCGGAATGGTGCCTCCTCCTCCTGGCCCGCCTGGATCTTCTCAACAAAGAGCACCAACTCCACCTGGCATGCCTCCTCCCCCCATGGGTGTCCCTCCCAGAGGACCATTCGGTCCCCCAATGGGTATGTGTGTGAAGAAGTGGCTTGTGCCTTTCAACGGAAGCAAAATAGATCAAATGTTGTTGATGCAATAACTCCTCCCCTTTTTTTACAGGAATGCATCCAGGTATGAGAGGGCCTCCACCAATGCCACCCCCAGGTTATGGTGCCGGCCCACCCAGACCACCACACTTCGGCTTTCAGAGAGGGCCTCCCTTGCCGCCTCGTCCTCCTGCGCCGCCGAGGGGTCCAATGAGAGCACCAATGCCTCCCTAAGCCCTAATGTGAAGATCTTTTTGAAACCTTTGTTGTTTTTATTTACATTCTGTGCTTTACTAGATGGACCACTTGCTTCTTTGTATACAGATTTCTTAATTTTGGTCATTGTGCTATTTCAGAATTAGCCGGAATAAACAATTTTATATAACCGTGTTGTTTTTTTGTCAGTTTGTTTACAAAAGTCTATTTCAAATAAATGCTGTTCTTTGAACTTTTTGTTCATCATAGAATCCTGAAAAAATGCGCCCCAAAAATGAAAGTATATCTTGATTTACTCACCCTCAAGCCATCCAAGGCGTATATGACATTGTTCTTTCGGACTAATACAATCAGAGTTAATTTTCATTTTTGGGCGAACTATCCCTTTAAGCAGCACAACTGTTTTTAATAATAAGAAATGTTTCTTGAGGACCAAATCAGAATATTATAATGATTTTTGAAGGATCATGTATCATCACACATTCAAATATATTAAAATAGAAAACAATTATTTTGAATTATAATAATATTGTAAGACTGGAAAAACTGGTTAAAGAGAAAATATCTGACCAGTGGCCTCTAAAGACAAAAGGCATTGCTTGCAAATTAACATTTGACACCCTAGCCCCTTTTCTCTGAACATCTTATCTGCATCTTCTCTCTTTCACTCTCTCAGTCAATGATACTGAAAGCTCACACAAGAATATGGTTTTAATGTGAATCTGATAATCTTTAAGGATTGTTTAGAATCATTTTGATGGTCTCAGGGTGACTGGTAATAATGTCTCATTCCCAAAGTAATAAAAGAAAAGGTAATAAGGTTTTTAAGAATATAGAAATATCTTGCACACAAAAGGGTGTGTCTTTGAGTTAATCTGAATGCAAACTCTCCTTCCCCCAGTAAACATGGTGGGGGTTTCAGTCCATTGTAGTTTGGTGATTGGATCAGGTAAATTTGGTGATTAGATCAGGTAAGGTTTGGCTCTATTTAAGGAAAATGCACAAGAGTTCATGGCTGCTTTCTGTATTCAGATCAGCCCGTGATGTTGTGTCTTCAGGGCTCAGCTCATGTAGTATGTTGGGTAAAGTTCCTTTGTCCTAAAACAATTGATGGTTTGCTCTGATTATCTTGTGGAATTGTAATAATACATTTACCTGACATAATAAATTGTTATATTTGGCTATTCTAACAGACTTTGACTTTAGTTTCATTAGAGTTAAAAATAGTCAAGCATTAACTACTAAATGATGCACAGATATCATTGATAAACCCTTTTCATTTTATGGAGTCAGATGAAACGAGTTAATACATAATATTAAAAGTGTCGCATTTAATTAAAATTCACTTTGCTTGGAAAAGACAGAACGCGCTTGAAACCTTCACCACGAATCGAACTCCGCCATTTGGACCGATTTCGTGGCCCTTTTTACAATATCACAATATTATTGTTTTTGACAACGCAACCTCGTTGAGCATAACTGTCAAAAACATTTAAAAATCGTACTCACCCAAAACTTTTGTACATATAATGACTTAAATGTGATGATGTGAGCTACTTTTATTTGGTTTAAAATAATATGAACAAAAGAAAATATACAGAAGCTGAAAATTGATATTTGCAATATTTTTAATCAAAAATAAGTCAAAAGCTTTATACATTTAAGCATATAACAAGTGGGAGAAACTCTAAAATCAAGATTTTGCATTAACCAGTGTAGGTCCATAAATTGTAGTGCCAGTATATTACTGTGGTTCATTTTTACAATGTGAGGACGGTGATGTCATTACATAAAAAAAAAACACGGAACTTAAATTACTTTAAAAAGTAAATAATTACATAATTTCCTATGTGAGAACCAATCAAAACTAGTTAAAATTGAAAATTTCTTTAGAGGTTACAACAATTATGTCTGTTACTATTTTTTGTTATACAGCACAAAATTGGATTCAATTTAATAATCACATATGCTCTTGCCATCTAATGCATATGAATATCTCAAATTATTCTGTGTCTGAAAAACCACTGATTATTTTGTCATAACTCAGGGAGATAACATTACACATTATAAAGGCTAGCCAGACAGATACAAAACCCTGATATTGAAATCAGACTTTTTACATTTGTGAAAGCAATGTTAAAGGGATAGTTCACCCAAAAATTTAAATTCAGACATCATTTATTCACCCTCAAGTCAGTTGATGGACCCCATTGACTTCCATAGTAATGAAAACCCAATTTGGTTACCCATTCTTAATAACATATTTTGTGTTCAGTAGAAGAAAGAGATCCATACAAGTTAATTGATGTCAGAATGTTAATTTTTGGGTGAACTATCCATTTAACTCACTGTGAACAAGAGCTCTCAACTTAAGGATAACTATAACAAAACAACAACCACATTATACATATTCAGAGAAAACAAATACATGTTACATAAGGAATGTGAGTTAATGAATGGGAATTATGCTTTATACCCATTTAAACAAATACTATATATGCCAATAATTCATGTACGAATAAAAACTAAACATGACCAAAAATACACCAAGGCACTTTTAATTGACCTACAGATTTTTAAATGATCCGACAGAAAAAATAAAACGGATAGCCTACAAATTAAATTCTCGAAACTGGTGCATTATTTTATTACCAATGCATAGAACACAAACCACTGCTGCATTCTGAGATGAATTTTCAATCTTTCATTTTTATAAAGCGGTGAAACTGTCTGAATAAGACTGCTGCGTTTCTAGGGGAGCTCAAAAGACATGCAGTTTGCAAAGAGTTCCATCCTGAGTGAACCTTTTCCAGCTGTTTGATGAACCCCATCTAGGACAATTGATGGGTGAGCACTTCTAAGGACACTGCAGATACAGACTCCTAGAAAGAATCATCTTCCCTGGTCGTGTGTGTGCATATGATGCACATTGTGGTTGTTTCTTAGTGAACTTTCATTTGAAGCAAGAAACGTTAACCAAAACAGAACAAGGAAATAAATTACAAAAAGGACTTAATTGCTGAAAAATCAAAATGAACCAAACCAAAACCGTGCCGATGCACTCTTTGGTTGCTTGAGAGGATTGAGTCCGCGCTCTTGGGTTGCGCTTTTAAGAGATGACTTCCGTGTGACCCGCTGTGGCTTCCACAAGAGTGATCTGCTCGTCCACACAATCGATGTCCTCTGTTTTGATGACTACGCCACCTTCTGAAAACATGACAACTTCCTCTGTTCCCTCCGTAGTTTCTTCGATGCCGACCTCTTCTTGCACAAACACGATGTGCTCCTGGTCCAGCCCTGTGGTGCCGTTGCTCTGTCCGTTCGACATGGCCTCCAGTTTCATGCGGTACCCCTCGGCTTCCTGCTCTTTGCGGAGCAATTGCTGACGATAGGATTGAGCTTTCCTGTTAGCTTCCTGTAACTGCCACTGGAGATGCTCCTGGAGATGGACGAAAATAAGTTATCATCTAAAGGTTCATATCTGTAACGTGCAGTAAAATCTTGTCATGGGTAGGCTGTGTAATGTAGTTAATGTAGCAACCCAAGTTCATATCAGGCATATCAGTCAGTCATATGCGAGGATAATGCAAATCAAATCTAATAATCAAATGAATGGACACATCTATCTTATGACTTACACAACAAACAAAGCCTAAGAGAGGGAGGCGGCGCTTCGTAAATGTAAGTACACACTGATGGCCTAAGACACGAAACGAGCGGTTTTTGTGAGAAAACGAACAGTATTTATATCGCTTTTACCTCGTGCAATCACAGTGACGTCCAAGTGATCTGAATCAGTTGTGCAATGTCCAAATGAACCGAACTGAATCAGTTCAATGTTACGCCGGAAGTGATCGCTTGCGTGTGACGTCACTCAATATTTACGCAGAGATTTCGGAAGTTTTACCTTTTACTAAACATATTTAGACATAGCAAAATCGTCTTCCATTGCGGTTTTTCCGTATATCTAAATATGTTTAGTGAAAGGTAAAACTTCCGAAATCTCTGTATAAACAAAGAGTGACGTAGACGCGCAAGCGATCACTTCCAGACCGAAGCGCCCGTGCCGTCAGATCATTTTGTCATGACTATGATTACAAGAGGTAAAAACGATATAAATACTGTTCGTTTTCTCACACAAACCGCTCGTTTCGTGTCTTAGGCCATCAATGTGTACTTACATTTACGAGTCATTAAATCATGTTTAATTTGGACTTCTCTGTGCATGCTTTTTGGTGGACCCCCTTAGGCTCCAGTGTATGATTGATAGACAACAACGGTTTGACTGAAAAATGTCAAAATTGAAAATACTGTGGAAACAAAGACACCTAAACCTTGGATGCCCTTGAGGTAAGCTAATTTCAAAGTGAACTATCCCTTTAACGCGTTCACATTTTGAGCGAACGTGAACTGAACGTACTGTATAACTGGCTGATGAACGATACCGTAAACTTCTGGTGTCTGTGAAGGCACGCTCTTTCAGTTTAACTTTGTACAATAGGTCACCAGATTTCTATAGAGACTTCCAGGTGAAAACCTGGCTAAAACACACGTGAACAGGCTTTATGTAGTGAAAAAACACCCAATCTGTTAACACAAGACACCAGTGTCGCACCGCGACCGCCATCGACAAAGCAGCCAGCGAGGAAGCATCGTATGATCATTTAAACGGATTTTATGACGAGGTTGGTGAGGATGGGAAAAATCTTTCATTTCTGTGCAAACTGCCTGTCGTCAATAAAATAATTGTTGTCTGTGGTTGTATATGGGCTGTGGGAATAAAAAAAAAAGCTTGCAACATATGTAAAAAAAGAACTATGAATGAACTAGTAAATTTTTTTGAAGTATGAACTATGAACTAGTTCATGTAGAAAGTGAACTTTCCCAACACTGGCACACAGACAGCCACACACACACACACACAATTTAAATAGGATACAGTCAGAATATATTGGTTCAGTAGTAACGTACCGCTTTAAAGTGCAAAAACAGCTTATTCGCTTCGACAAACTGCACTAGGCGCACACACCGACACGCAATGAGCGTCTGGCAACTGGTGCTCATGCACCAGAATAAAAAAAAGAGAACTTTTGATACCACTCAGCTTGAAAGGTTTGTGTTATTTTTTTGTCAAATATCCAACGGTTCACAGCCGTCGAACTAGGTTGAAAGCCAATGCTAGGCACCGCTAGATGCATGAGTGTCATGCGTAAATCTACATAAACTACGTTCTATGGACCAAAGAGGCACTGCTAACCTCTGCCTCAATGGCCATGGCCTTGAATTTCAGCAAACAACGGCAAAAAGGAGTATATTACATGTGTATTCCTGGAACTTTTTGTTACAAAAATGTATATTTGGAATAAAATAATTGCAATTAATAATGTGGTGAATTAATAAAGCTCTTGGAACTAATAAATGTAATGTCAAATTTTCCTTTGGTGAGGCACTGCCTACCCTGACCGCACGTCCCTGGTTCATACACACACACACACACCCTCCTTTACATATTAGACTCACCGTTTCACCAGTCTCTGCATTATTGGATGAAACTTCAATTTTCCTTTTACGAGCAGGAGGTTCGGAGTCTTCAACCACTTCCTCTGTGATTTGATTGGCTGGAACAGCCAATACTGATATAAAAAAATAAAAATCAAAGAACATGCTTAATTCAAGGTATAAGAATGTCAAGACAGCTGTGATATATATATATATATATATATATATATATATATATATATACACACACACACACACACACACAATTTAATAATATAATAATCATATACACTACTGTTTAAATGTTGTTGTTGTTTTTATAGAAATTAATACTTTTGAGCAAGGATGACTATTTTTTCCAATTAATGCTGTTTTTCAAACTTCATTAAAATTCATTTAAGAATCCTAAAATAACAGTTTCCACAAAAAAATATTAAGTAGCCAAACTCTTACAACATTGATATAATAGATGATTATGGAAATAAATTATATTTCAAAATATAAAAAAGCTATTTAAATTCTAATCTCTCACTATATTAGTTTTTACTGCATTTTTGATCAAATAAATGCAGCCTCAGTGAGTATAATACTTTTTAAAAAAAGTCTTACTGACCCAAAACTATATATAAATGGTAAAATTATATCATTAAGAAGTTCAAAAATCCAAAATAAGGATAGTTAGTTATACCTTGTCGTCCATCCTGCATTGTGACAAAGAACGGTTGGCCGAGTCCATTTGTCTGCAGGTTTCCATGTTGATCTGTTAATATGGTTATGACCCTCTGACCTGATTCATTCACCACTTGTTGGATACTCGAGTCCAAGGAACTGACAGCTATGGCCTCCTCTGTGTCACCTAAACATCATGAGAAAAACAAAATGCAATTGTTGGTTCAAATTCAATTTAAGATCATAAAATAACTAACAATGTTCAAATTGATTACATTCGTTTACAATGATTCTCTAGTCGTATCGTACCTGAGCTGGCTTTGATCAAGTCAGAGAGGTTGACGACTCCCCCTTGGATGTTTGGGACGCCCTGAATGATGAACTGTGGGGTGGAGCTGCCGTTTATGATTGACGCTTCGGCATTCCTGTTCACCTGATTCTGCATTCCCTCCTAAAAGGCAAAACGAGGATTTATGAGGAAAATTTTTTAGGGCTTTCTTTATTTCTTAGGGCTTTCATTAAAGCAAACGATTTACAGGTGTGAAAATGCCCTTCAATTCTCTAGTCTAGTGTTTAGTAGTTTTCTAAACACATGACAAACCTGTAACAGGTGTATAAGTTCTGCGTGTTGTATGTCGATAGCGATATCAAAAGCGGACTTGTCAAACTTGCTGAGGGCATGTACATCTGCACCGTGTTTGACCAACAGCTCTGCGACGGTGTGATGGCCGTGCTGGGCTGCCCAGTGAAGAGCGGTCATCTTCAACATGTCTTTGGCATTGATGTCGGCACCACTCTAAAACATAAAGAGAGACTTTAGTCAGTCTCCTCGGTTGAAAAATTGGAATAGCTTACAGTAAATCTAGTAATCTATCGCAACACAGGACAAGCCTCGTCTTACCCTGATTAATAAATCCACAATGACCTCATGGCCCTCTGTAGCCGCCATGTGCAGTGGGGTCCTGTCCACTTTGGTTCGGGCATCTCTGCTGACACCCGCCCTTAGTAGGACTTCAGCAGTGGAGTAATGACCATGCTGGGCTGCTAAATGTAATGGAGAAGTTCCAAGCTGCAAAATAGGTACATATAAATGAGCTTTTACATCGGTGTAAAATGTGTTTTTGTAGTTCACTTTGCGACAATTTACAAGCAGATAATATCATTGACACATCTTATGAGTCAGAATATGATGTAAAGTTTGTCAGATATTTATAGATTGGCTTGTTATGATTCTTAAAAGGCATCGATAACACTGTTTTTCTTATTGATTGCATCTCAGGAAGGCTAAGCTCTAAAATCATATTAACTCATAACATTATTGACGACATGACCAACCCAGTCAGTGGTGAACGGGGCTCCATTGGCCATCAGCGTCCGGACCTCATCATCATGACCATTCCGAGCTGCTTCTAAGAGACGCTTTCCCAAATCCACCAACGACATCTAGGCAAAGACAGAGATTATATATACCATTTAGGACTAAAAACTGTGTTATTATGATGATAATGTCTGTGCATTACTCCAACAAAGATATATTGTACTGGGGGAAAATGATCTGCTACTGACCAATACAGTGATTGCCTATTTGTTCATTCCACTTGTAGTGTGTGTACCAAATTATGAGATTACAGTTTGCATTTGGACCTTTTTTTATTTCATTTTTGGGAAAAGTGGATGTAGGAATGAATAGAAAGAAATGTATGTTGCCAACTCCTTAAATATTTGAATTACATATCTTCCAAACATTAGCATCCAAACCGATCTGAATTAAACCATTAATCATGCACAGATTTCGACACGACATTCGCGTTTATTTTTCAGAGGATGCTTAAAAATACATCTGTAGGCCTACTATTTACACCAGTGTAATAACCAGCTGAATAGTTAAATAACAGCCTTTCTGTCCATATCATTCGAAAATAAATGAGGAAAACAGTGGCCCGATATTTCAAAGTGAAACTCCGAGAACACATAAACATAAAAATTAGTTTGCATTAGTAAGAAAATCTTTTAAGGTCGATTTTAAAGCTCGTATTTTACATGCCAAACTCATGTGCCATGTGGAGTCAAAAACAACCGAGCAGAACCGATACATATCCTCCATCTGCACCACGAACTAATACAGGCTGGGCGTATCAAACTCACCGTTATAGCCGGTCTGTCGGACGTCTATTGGGTGATATTAAAGTACTATATAGTTCTCCGTACTGTATTTCTGAACTGGCTCAACATAAACATGTCTGTGTTTAAAGCGCATTCAGATATGGCGGCTGCTTTAACCCCGGAAATAAAAGGGAAGCTGCTTAGACGCTTCGGATGTGTCTCAAATCTAGCGAGCTGCGTACTTAGATGTTTAGGCCTATTTAGTGCGGTTACTAGCGAGCTATCTACTTAGGCAGCATGTTTGGGCCTATTAAATGCAACAACTAGCGAACTACCTCCTTAGACAACATTTTTGGGCCTATTAAGTGCGTTTGAACCATAGACTTAAAAATGAACCCCCCAAAACAATACATGGACCCTATTTAATGACCCCCCCCCCCCCAAACAATACACGAACCCTATTTTTCTATAAAAAAAGAAAGAAAAAAAAGAAAAGAAAAATGCTGACTAGTTAGGCAGCTCGCTGGGGTTCGAGACACAGCCTACCTATTTAACAACAACTACTAGGCCTATATATATATATATATATATTTGTAAATATATTTTTTCTTTATTTCTTTGTAAATAAAATAAAAAAATGTATATAATATGCTTGTGTGTCCTGCTGGTGTATATATATTTATATATATATATATACACCAGCAGGACACACAAGCATATTATATACATTTTTTCTTTTATTGCTTTTTATTATATTTTATTATATATATATATATATATATATATATATAATAAATGTTTATTTACATGTTTATATGGGTTTTTTATGTGTGTATGGTTCGCTATGTGTTACGATGTATATCTTACATCTCATCTTGGATGTTTAGAAATTAATAAGTCTTGATATTTACTGATGTATAAAAGAAACACATTGTAATTTAATACTGCAAACTCTTTGCAGCTTTACGCTTTCCTAAATTGCTACATAGCTGTCAAATCACCTGTGCCTATCAGCACAATAAACCACAGGGGGGAAAAAATCGATTATCATAACCAGAATCTACTACAGGAGTTGTAGAGTTAGGACTAAAAAACTGGTGCACCTGTATTTGGAAATGTTTGTGTTGAATACTCTCTTCTCTCAGTCAATGTTAAAAAATAATGTATTCTTTTGTTTTATACCTATTAAAAAGAAGGGAAAAAACATGAACACAAATGCATTTTTTATTCATTTAGCAGCAAGCTCACTTTAATTGGCATCTGGCATTTGTCATCAAACATGGTAGGGGGGGAACAGTGAAAAGCATTATTAGGTGTGCATTTAAACATGGACATCTTTTCAATACAAAAACACCTTCAAATTAAATTTTAGTTTAAGCTATTAAAGTCACTGTATGCATTAATATTACAAATAATTTGGCAGTCAGCAATATTTTACAGTTTTAGATTTACCATTTGTTCTGAATCCCCTTACCTTTAACATGAAATGAATTGCCAGATTTAGGATCTGAAAATCCTAATCTTATTTCATATGCACAACAAATTGAGCAGTTATGTAGAGTTTACAGGGCAGTAAAGTACTAAATAGTGTAAATAACATCCATATTCAGTAATGCCTTGATAGTTTTAGCACAGTTATCACAGTTTTACTGACGTAATAATACATGAGTCAATCATTTCATCAATATCAGATCAGAGTAGAGAATTTGTGCAGCCACAGTGGCATAAAACACAGATTTGATCGGGAACTGATAATTGCATTACAGTGTCTTATAACAGCAGGTTAAAATCCAAGGTATCAATACAAGCAATGGGCTCTTTCCAGAAGTTGAAGGTGGAGTACTTCAACAACTCCGAGTCTTCTTCCTCCCTCCTGCCCTTGCTCGACTTTGTTTCCTTGGACTTGGACATAGAAATCCCAAGGTCTTCCAGCTCTGACAGGTCCAGGGATGGGATGGGTTCCCTCCAAAACATGAAGGAGTTGAACTGGCTGGTGGTTGTGTCTAACATTTCGATCTATACATGAAAAACAAAAGAGAGATTACGCCGTTTAAACTAAAAACAGTTTTTTTGTGTGTGTGCATTTTGGTCATTCATTTAAATGCAATGTTGCAATTAAATAATGATGACAATATTTTAACTAACTCATTTCACAGGATACACTGCGTTGCTTGCGGTTTAAAAACCTGTTTACATTTTCCCTTAGTGAGCTCCTGACTTTCCCCATGAGCTATTTTCAGATACCTGCTATTTTCAGGGAAACCTGAGCAATTTACATCTGTGAAACAACTTTCATATTCAGGTCAAAGGCTAAAATATTATTATTTTTATATTTTTGTAAACTTATACATCAATTATGATATAATTGTACTATAATTTAATTAAAAATAAATAATCATAATTACTATTATTATGAGTAAAATATTATTTGTGAGCTGTGATACTGAAATGTAAGCAATGTACATGTGCAAATCATTAATAAAAAAACGTTTGTTTATTATAATTTATTTTAAAAACAGAATAAGCAATACAGTATTTGCACTTCAGTCATCTAATGATATTAATATATTCTAATTAGATGCAAGATTGAAGTCCTTACAGGAATAAGAACAAAGAGGCATTATCTTGTTACAAAGAAAAGACATCCTTCGGGAGCTGCAATTTAAAAACGTGTCAAATCTAAAAATGACAATGATTCTAATGAAGCGGTTCCACTTAATTAAACAACACGTAACGTTCATATGTCATGTCGCGCGTCGTGGGGTGATTTAGCTGTGGTCACACAATGCAGAGGCGGTATACGCCCAGTATTCAGAGAGAAGCAGGGGATGAGGTCCTGTCATGACTATCATGGATACCCTGCATGAATATTGCAACATCTCACAAGAACATCTATTAAAAGGCAGGCTCGCGCAGCTCCCAAAATAGTGATGGCGCATCTCGTGACAAAGCATTTTAGAGATGCTTCAATATGGTAAGAATGGATTACCAGCAAAAAAAACTTACATAGGCCTGAAGCATAAACATTTACCAGTAAAATACGTTATATTATCTTATTTTCAACTAACAAATAAGGTCATGTCAATTTTGTTACATCATGTCTATTTGTTGAAACACCAATTTAACTAAACTGGACTAAAACAGAAATATTGCTCAACAAAAGGATAATTTTATAAAACATACCTCAAGTATGTGGTCGGGTTCTTTCTCTTGGAATTACAAGCTGTTTTGTCGTAATTCAGGTTTGAAGAAGAACAGACGATGCTGTTTGAGCTCAATCTTCTAGCCGGCTGCTCAGCTTGAACCAACCGCACCCAACATCACTAGTAGAGATTTGCACTAGTCCCGCCCACCTTCTGTGGGCGATTGAGGGACCAGTGACAGGTGCATAATTAGCGTCGAGTGGGCGTGTCAAATTGCTTGTGCTATTGAAATAGAGAAAATTAGTAACTGCATTTATGGTGTATGTTACTACTTTTGTGTTATCTGTACAATTTGTGCTTCCCATTTGCATTTCCTAACGACCCATTCTTCTGTTCTTAAAGTGCAGCCGTCTATTGTGAGATGTAAGTGCTGCTGGTTGATTGGCTGATTCCAGCGTCCATCAGGTCGATTGACCCTTCTCTAGATCTTTCCACTGACTGAACTTGACGCCCTGCGAGCAAAAATGGAAGTTTATTGGTATTTTCAGTGGACTAAATTGTACTTATTGCTCTTTAAAGCAGCAGAACTTTGAATATTTATTTGAATTAGTTAATATACACAGATGAGACTGTAAATATGATTCATGCAAATAAAGATGCGTTTAGTCTATTCTTTTAAGGATGTCAGAGATTTACAGGAATATAAAGAACGCTCTTGAGCCTAATACAAATCATACAATTATTCAATATCATTATATTTTATGAGATAGGATATTAAATAGGCTACTTTATTATATTTGATAATGTAACGAAGTTTGAACATTTACACTTGCACTTGCTTCATTTGGTCAAAATGACCTTTAATGCCAGGATATGAAAAAATACAAGTTTCAGAAAAAAATCAAGCACACAAGAAAAAATGAAATGATTTACTTTTGTGAGCTCAATGAGTTCAGCTAATTCCCAGTTATACAAAAACTTTAGTCAGGTGAAGTTAAACAGTCACTAAAAATGCATTTTTGTACAGCAGTCAGTAGACTATAATATAATACAACATAATATAATGTCATATATTATAATTAAAATGACAGTTATATAACTTCGCTGCACTCTAAAATGTTTTATAATAAAGTGTAATGATTGATGTGTTTTACAGGATTAATTAAATACATTGTAGAGACAGTTATTTGAAAATATATCATCATCATCTGTCTATAACTGTACGCCAGACCAGGATTTGGACTCTTTTGGATTTGTATACTAATGTTGCTTCTATAATAAGAAAGAAAGAACATTCTCTCATTATATTCATCCTCAAAACTTGTATGCCATTCTTTTTATGTGGAACAAAAAATGAGATAGGCAATTTCACTGCATCATTTTGTCTGAATGAATGTGAATTGGGACTGAGACTAAAGAAGAAAAGTATTGTTTTTGAAAAATCAGGGTGACTATATGATGACAGAACTTTTTATTCTATATTATATTATATTATATTATATTATATTATATTATATTATATTATATTATATTATATTATATTATATTATATTATATTATATTATATTATATTATATTATATTATATTATATATTCAAATCCTCAGTGGAACTTGGACCTGCATTTCCATCCTCCAACCACCAGATGCCACTAGACACCTGATAATAATTTGAATCAAAATATCAAAACGAATTTTACAGCAGAATTCCTACCATCGTAAGCTAACAAAACACTTTGTCAATATCGAGAAAATAGTACTGTGTAATAAATAGTTATAAGTTATTAGCTTCCGACATGACGCCATTGTTTACAAACACAGGCACCGGAAGTGAGACTGGCAAAAACAAGATTACGGAAAGAGTGGCCAGAGAGAGAAGGAGGGGGGGAGAGAGAGAGAGAAACAGAGAGAGTGACGTGCGCATGTATCAGTCGGACTAGTAGCTAGCTACACAGCAAAATCTGTACAATTTAGCCAGACACCTTCACTACTTTATTGTGTTTTACATTGTATGGATTAGGGGCAAAGAATAACGTTTTTAAACACCTAAAGACGTGCAGAAAGGTCGCTATGGTAAGTTGCTGCCGCCGTTGTAAGTAATTCAGGGAGAACTGCTGTCTGTTACTCTTATCAAGATTGTTACTTAGTATGAACTAATAAACACCTCAAATACTGTACTGAGTAGGAATTGCTTATGTATTAATAGATTGGCAAAACTCTACCTTATTGTTTTGGTAAGACACAATCTTGTGTTGTCAGTTCACTTGGTTAAAACCTCATTGGCAATGTGAGTTATATTGTTTAAAATGACAGCCAACGTTCAGTGCACGTTTTAGTTTAGTATGGATATATTGTCTAAATCTTCTTCCTGTTTATTTCAGAGTTTGTGAAATTCAAAATCTGAGCTCAGAAACCCTTCTTAACCTCCAGATCTTCACCCTTCAGTGATCAGGTAAATTAAAAAAAACTTATACAATTGGTCTTCTAGGATGTCACAATCACATGAAATAGTTTTTCCAAACAAACTATTGTAACTTTGAGGCTCATATAGTCTACTTCAGAATAAAAGTAATGCATTTTGGTTTGTACATGTATAGTAAATGCTGATGATATGCTTTGTGTGCTTCACAGAAAGCCTCCCTGTGACTCAGCTGTTCCCAGAATTAGGCAACTCTAAAACAACACTACTAAGCAGAGGTGTGCTGAAAAACTGCCTCTCAAACAGTTTTGGGCATGAAAGCAAGGACGTACCAAGTTTTTCACTTCAGTAGGAATTGATATAAAATTTCTGGCTTTTTGACGCAAGTGATTGTTTTTAAGAGACTGCCACAGGTAGAAATCAGGAATCAGCTTCAGAAATCCCTCAAGAGCTAAAACTCAGGAATATGAAGTAAGCAAAAATACAATTGTGGGGGGAAAAAAAACAAAGTCACTGCCAGATTTTTTTATTTATTAGAACTGAACTTTTTTTTTTTTTTTTAAACGTGCTGTTTCAACAAAAGTTCGATTACCTCTGTGTATTGGAAGCACACAATCTCTGCTGTCAGGTCATGGCAGATTCTTGCCCAGACACCGTTGATGGTGAGATTATAGGCATTTCTGAGGGACAACAATTAAATACAACCAAAAATGAGGACTTTGACCCTGGTAGACCACAGGATAAGAAAATCAGCCAAAAAGAGGGTGTTACCACCCTTGAGCAATCCTCTGGGAGTATGAAAGATGACCTCACACCATGCAAAGGTCCTCCTACAACCTCAACTTCTCTTGAAGATGATGCTAATGCGGCTCAATCGACCTCTGTGACCAGTAAAAACCAAGACAAAACCGATGAATCCGAGATCATCAATAGCCAATCCTGCACGCCCAGCCAGTCAGAAGTGACGCCCACTTTCTCAGTGGCTAGCCTGGAGTTCTCCGAGGAGACTAATGGGATTCCTCCTGATGGATCTTTGATTTCACCCAAATCTGCTCAGGATGGAAACCAAGTCCCCTCTCAGGGGAACGAAGGGGTCGGTGCGGGGGCTGCTAGGGCTTCAGAGCCTGGGATGCCAGCGTATTATTTTGTCAAGTGGATTACCTGGAAAGAGAAGAAGACGGCCATCATCACGCAGAGCGAGAACGGACCCTGCCCCCTGATTGCCATCATGAACATCCTGTTGTTGCGATGGAAGGTTAGCCATTCTGCATTAACTGCTTATTGTACAATCACATCATGGTGCTAAACAAATACAATGTGTGTGATATTTGCAAAGGCAAGCATCACTTTTACTACAACTATGTATTACATTTCAGCATGTAACTTGTCATGCAAGATTTATGTTACTGATATGAAAGGTGCCTCAAATTTTAAGTCATACAATGAACAATAAGTTTTCTGTGAAAAAACCTTGGCAGTCAAACTTTTTTGTTACCATTTTAGTTGCAGTGAGTAAAATCTATGACTATTATTATATTTAATAAAATATAAAAATAATATATAATATATAAATATAAAGGTTTTTACACACACCCATACATGCATATATATATATATATATATAGGGCTGTCAAATCAATTGTTTACGAATAATCATATCTAACATGTAGTTTGTTTATATAATGTATATATATTTATACTACACACATATATTATATAAACACAAACATTTATGTAAGATGCAATTAATCGATTTGACTGCCCTAATTATAATATAATTATATATATATATATTTTAGGGCAGTCATATCGATTAATTGCGCCATGTGTGTGTGTGTGTGTATATATATATATATATATATATATATATATATATATATATATATATACACATACTTTTATTCAGCAAAGATGCATTTAATTAATTAAAAGTGACAGTAACATATATAGTATAATGTTACATCGTAACTTAGTAGTTTTCTGTTTCAAACAAATGCTGTTTTTTTACTTTATATTCATCAAAGAATTCTGATAAAAATGTATCATGGTTTCCACAAAAATATTAAGCAGCACAAATGTTTTCAACATTGATAATAAGAAAAAATGTTCCTTAAGCACCAAATCCGCCTATGACAATGATTTTTGAAGGATCATATGGAAATATTACAGTTTTTACTGTATTTTTGATCAAATAAATGCAGCCTTTGTTTGTGAGCATAACTTACTGTACTTAAAAAAACAAACATACCAACCCTATAATATCATAAAATGCAGTTCAATCCAAACCAATTTTTAGCTGAACTACAAAACTTTTTTTTGGCCTTGTAATAGGTTTAACTCTCCTTATCTGTTTCTGTGTTACTGTATAAACATGATTTTAGCTTACACTATAACACTAATAACACATTGAGGGGGGAAAAGCCTGTTGTGAAATTTTGGAAAGAAAAAATTGCTAAAAGCAGAAGTTTCATGTGCATGTAGTTTAGATTATATGCATGTAAAAAAAAAAACATGATTTGAATTGTCTGTTTATTCTTTAGGTGAAGTTCCCGGCTCAGACGGAAGTGGTCACCACAGAAGAGCTGATGGCTCACCTTGGTATGATGTTTTGGTCTCTATATGTTACATCAAATTACATTAAAACACAAAGTGTTGAGTCACCGCACATCTTTCCTGTTAATGGAGTGTAATACGTTAAGGAGCCTTAGTGGTGTGCCATAACTAACTTTATGGTTGAAAACAGATGGCTAGTGTGACTTGAGAAGAAGGGGGTGTGGTTACTGTGTGAATACATTTGTGTTTCAGTACCACTAATGGCACCCCAATCATGGATTAGACCATTAAGTCTCTGCCCTTGGTGTAAGTAGTAATTTAGCTGATGCTTTTAGGTTAAGTGCCTTACTCAAGGACACAAAGGTAATACTTTTGACCCCTCAGTGAGTGGTTACTAGTCCAGATGTTTAAAGTGCCCCTGCTATGCTATTCTAATGGTGTTTAGGAGGTCTCCTACAATAGGTTTTCTTATAATATACATTGCACATCACCTCATTTCTCAAAGAGTCTGAAAACGGCTAGTTTTAAGATTCAGTCTCTCTAAACCCCTTCTTTCCGTGTGCCTACTCTGCTCTAATTGGTCAGATGGCCCAGTCTGTTGTGATTGGTCTGTTGCTTAAACCGCGTATCGGTACGAAACAGCCATTACCAAAACACTGCATTGGCCTGTCTGAAGCTTGGTGCTGTCTCGACCGTCACCGTGACAACAGCCATTACATCACATTACTTCCAGCTTGGAATGCAACACGCTAGGGTATTTGCATAAAGGCGATCTGATTGGCTGACGCCTGTGTTGGTGCTTCAAAAGTGGAAAATTTTTTCAACTTCTGCCACAAGCAATGCCAATAGTGCGACGCAATGGAACTTTTGAAGTGCAAAGTAAGGATGGCGAAAACTAAACATTTTCTTGACCGACCACCGAGCCTCATTACCTGGTTGAAACCGGTTAACCAATTAGTTTAAAATAAGCTACTCTATTAGAAATAACAGCCATTTCCACGCCTCCAATTTCACAACTGTCGCATCTCTCTGCCTCCCTCTCACACACACACACACACACTATAATAGTCTCTGAGCGCCGTTTGTCACATTTCCTACCATCTAGCATGACACGATAGGTTGGCTTTGGCTACCTTTCTCACCCGAAGAGGCTTGCGGGTATCGCGTTTTCTGGTGATGCAACATAGATGATGTGCTACTACGGTATTTAACCCTCAAGTGCTCTTCGTTTCGGAGTCACACTTGTTATCTTCCCGGTCAAAAGTGACCGGACACCTACAAATTAAATTTCCTTTATCCCAGTAAAACCAATGCAATTTATTTTTGTTCTATAATATTTATTCTTTGTAATTTAGTATTTTGAGACAATTTGATTGAATTGATTAAAATTTATGCAATATCTATGGTCTATTTTTGCCATGGAAAAATATATATATTTTTCTATATATATTATTTTTTTCAAAAAATTATTAATGCAGTAGTTTAGTTTAATATAGAGTCTAGGCCTTCAGAAAAAAATATCTTTTGAGGAAAATTAGCACCATCTGGTTACAGAATAGAGAAAAAGCGTAGAATCATGGTGTAACCACTAGATGGCATGTACAGCTCTCTATGGAGAAGCATGTGAATTCCCCAGATGTTTATGAACACATTTTTTTTATTTTTTTTTTGGTGGATTTGAATATATAGTTGAAACAATCTCAAAAACGATTTTTTATTCCAAAAAATTTAAAAATAAATAAATAAATAAAAATGTGTCTGTTTTGCACTGTAGATATTGTAGAGTGTCGCCCCTTTCCTGCGGTGTACTTTTTTTTTTAGAATTGTGGACGATTTGTAGATTGCAGGTACAAAAATTCAGAGGATTTTTTTTTTTTTTTTGTCAATTTCCCATTCATTTCCTATGGGTCGGTCATTTTTGACCGAAGACCACAAGTGTGATTATTTTTTTACGACCACTTAGCATGCTCGGATCATGACCTCAATTCTTTTTTGTATTCACATACATAATGCCATAAAAGTCACCAAGTTTCGTAACATTCCGAAGAAGCTGTGATTTTTAAAATTTCCAAACAGAAAATTTTTCGGTCAGAAATGACCGAAGAGCACCTGAGGGTTAAGCACTGTATCACACAAGTTGCAACTTACATCTGTGTCATTCTTTTTGGTGAAATGGTCCCACACACTACTTTTCTTTGCACGCTTCATCCTGCAATCCTCCATGCCCTGGCTCTAACTTCGAGTATTTTAGCCTGTAGCCTTCACTTTTTGGAGACCTTGTGAGCGCCCGAACCCAAATGCTGTGACCTCGCACCAAATGTTTTTATTGGTTTATTGAGTACAAACAGGCGAGTTAGGAAAATTTGAGTTTGAGGGATTTGTTCACTTTACACAAAAATATCTTGGAATGAGATGGCTATCTGTAGTAGCGTTTAGTCCACTGTCTATAATAGCCTAATTTTGAGATTTTTAACCGAGTACCGACAACTTTGACCGGTTAACGTTGATACGGTCAACCATCGGTCAAACAGGTGGATTTGCAGCGTCTTCTGGACAACAAAATGAACCTACAGTGTTCGAGGATCAATGTAGACGTTCACTTTATGCAAATTTGTTACATTGTTACGGACATATGTTACGGAAGAGAGACTGGAATTGCTGATGACTCGTTTCAGGAGTTCAGAATCAATTCTTTCTTTTAGGAGGCCATGACTTTTTCATGCACTGTAATTTTTAAAACTTTGCTGACCTTTTACATTCACAAACCGCCATATTACACACTGCATGATAAGGTAATATTCAAAAAGCATAATAGGGGCACTTTACTTGCCACTCTAATGATCACCTATGGGTGGAGGTTTTCTTTGACAGTGTCGCTAAAAGTATTTGGAAACGTTTGCACTTTTAAGTCACATGCATGAATGTCATTGTTGCAATGACAATTTGCAACTAAATAATCTCTAACTAACTTTTCTGCTCCATTTTTTTTAAAAATCCTATTAACCAACTGGTTTCAATATAATTTTATATATTTATGCACATATAATACAATGGCATTCAGACGTTTTAAGTGTGGCTAAAGTGTCCAAATAATTTTTGGAGCCACTGTATATCATCTTTGATCATGTTATAGCTGAAAAGATCAACATGTGATGAGGATGTTGTTGAGTGATGGGGAGATAAACCAGAAGTGCTTTCACTAACAATACAAACACCATTGACATGAAAAGGTGACGCTTCTCAAACAACCTTTGACAGAAAGCCGAAGTGTTTTTTAAAAATCTGATTCTGTTCTCGTTCCAGGTGAGTGTGTGCTGTCCATCAAACCGCGAGAGACAGCGGAGGGCATGGAGCTCAATTTCCAGCAGGTAAATCATAGTGTGTGGTGGAATAACAAGTGAAACCGGCTCTGCTCTGCACAGATCTTCAACGCGTGTCTAATGAATTGAATTAACATGTTAAGCAGACAGGCTGTGCTGGAAACCTCAGAACCGAAACACATTTATAAGCAGATATTGTGAACGAGGCCTTCAGTCTATGAATGAAGGCTTGTGTGATCCCTTCATTAACAATTTCAACAATTACAGCGTCTGTTTGTGCTTATATGAAAGCTTCCTTTTGTCAATGGGATTCCTTTCCTGTGATTGGAAATTAGATGGATTGAATAGAAGAATACAACTACATATTGTTTTTTCACATGCTTTCAACGCAATAGGTTAGCTAAGTTGAATCAGCATTTTGTGTGGCAAATATCGCTCATACCATTTTCCGCTTGACCTAAAAAATCTCAATAACACACACTAAAATCAGTAACATGACCGTGATAAATTCCTCTGAAATGACGTCATGTTTTTTGTGTCTCATTCCCTTCACAGAACATGAGCGACGCGATGGCTGTGCTGCCAAAGTTGTCCACAGGCCTCGACGTTAACGTGCGTTTCACAGGTGTGTCTGACTTTGAGTACACACCTGAGTGCATCGTCTTTGATCTGCTCGACATTCCGCTCTACCACGGCTGGCTCGTCGACCCGCAGGTACGTCAGCAAAACAATGTAATAATGTGTGGATTCTATACGTTCAAACGACACTGCAAGTATTACATTGTTCTTCAGAGTCCTGAGGTGGTGTCTGCAGTTGGAAAACTCAGCTACAACCAACTGGTGGAGAAGATCATAGACTTCAAGCACTCGACGGATAGCAGTCAAGTCAGTGAAGGTACGTTAAATGTTATTTCTACAAATATATGTTTGATCAGCTTGTTCTTCTTGAGTGTCATTATTGGACTCGGGCTCAAACCTTAGTTAGCATAGTTACATTAAAGGGTTAGTTCACCCAAAAATGAAAATTCTGTCAGTATTTACTCACCCTCATGTTGTTTCAACCCCGTAAGACCTTTGTTCATCTTCACAACACAAATTAAGATATTAAGATCACTCCTGCATACTAGTCCATAGGCTTCTTGAGGGAATGACTCTTGCTGTCCTCGAAAAGTCATTAAAAACATCGTTAAAATAGTCCAAGTGACTACAGTAATCTTAAGTGTATCAAACGACGAGAACACTTTTGTGCGCAAAAAAACAACAAAAATAACGACTTTATTTCAACTATTCGTTTATTTGTCCCTCTGCGTGAGTCAGGTTACTAGTTTAATAGCGTAAGCTTCTGTTATTGTATGTCACATGACGTAGCTCTACGCTATCACACTACGTTAACTGACTACAGGCTCATGGAGAAGGAAGTGAATAGTTGAAATAAAGTCATTATTTTTGTTTGTTTTTGCGCACAAAAGTATTCTCGTCGTTTGATAAAGTTAAAATTGAGTCACTGTAGTCACTTGGACTATTTTAACGATGTCCTTTAAAGACTTTTCGATGCCAGCAAGAGTCAGTCCCTCAAGAAGCCTATGGACTAGTATGCAGGAGCGATCTTAATATCTTAAATATCTTCATTTGTGTTCTGAAGATGAACGAAGGTCTTATGGGGTTGGAACAACATGAGGGTGAGTAAATACTGACAGAATTTTCATTTTTGGGTGAACTAACCCTTTAAGGTTTACAGCACCTTATGCTGATGATACTCGCTGGGTGTGGAATAGAAACGCTCTCTAAGCAGAACACCAATCAAAACAGACTGGGGCCAGCTGACCAATCAGAGCAGACAGCAGTGCTTTTCGGAAGGTGGTTTTTAAAGAAACTGAAGCTAAAGCTAAGCATTCAGACAGAGGGTTAAAAACAATATCAGGTGCTGCAACAATATCAATTCTAAGAGATTTAGGCTATGTTTACACGGAAACGATTCTGAAGAGAAAACGCAAAAGTGGGGTTGCGTTATCACTTTTTATTCTTCGTTTAGACGAGCGTTTTGGGTGGGAAATCCGTGTGCATATGGTGACGCAAAAGTGTGTGAAATTCTATGTAATATGCACTCCAGGCAGCTAGGTGGCAATGTGGAGTACTGCCACACAACAACACCAAGTCCGCACGCCTGCGTACAACCTTCACTGTAAAGCAGACTTTTGCGTTTTTACCGTTTACACAGGAACGCGGCAGTGGAGCGTTTTTAATATTTCCACTCTGGCGGGTGGTTTCACTTTTGTGCGTTTTTAAGCGCCAAAAACGCCGTCGCCGTGTAAACGAAAGGCACATCCAGTAAAATATTTTTACGTTTTCACCCGTGAGCGTTCTCGTGTAAACAGGGCCTAAGGGCCCTATTTTAATGATGTAAACGCATGGTCTAACGCGCACATCGCAATTGCAGTTAGGGCGTGTCTGAATCCCCTTTTGCTTGTTTAACGACGGGACAAATGGTCGGCGCACCCGGCGCATGGTCTTAAATGGTTGGCCATATTCTCTTAATGAGTAATGGGTGTGTTTTGGGCATAACGTGCAATCAACCAATCAGAGTCTCATTTCCATTTCAATAAAAGCCAGTTGTGCTCGCGCCGTGGCGGATTGCTATTTACATGGCAGAATTAGCAAAGCTGAGAGACTGAACACTTCTCCAGAGAGGAAACTCGCTCGTGCGTGAGGTTAAAGCGCGCAAGCAGACCATCTACGGGACAAGCCAGATTCCACCATATCTTTATGTACACAATAATAATCTTTTGCGTTGTAATCCTTTTCATTTTTAATATTTGCCACGTTTGTGTGTGTAATAAGCAGTGTACGCGTGTTGTGCACCCACCTATAGGTGCATATTACTAATGCGCCCTTTAAATAACAAAAAAAATTGCATGGTCTATTGTTCTCAAACCAGCATGCCCATGTGCGCACAAATGGGTGCAAATGCATTTGCTATTTAAACAATGTCACGCAAGATACGCCTGGTGCTACATAGGTTGTATGATAGGGCACATAATGTTTTTGTTTTTAATTAATGATGTAAACGTGTTCTAGTAGATCACATTAACAATAATGATTAACCTGTAAATGAGCATAATAGGACCCCTTTTGGTATATACACTAATGGTTCAGATCATGTGTATCAGAGGTGTGTGAACTATTCTGCATTGTATTAATGGCTGATAGTAAGTCTTAATCTCTGGTTTGTCGACAGGTTTGATAGCAGAGCAGTTTTTGGAGTCCACAGCAACCCAGCTGTCGTATCACGGCCTGTGTGAGCTCAACACCACCGCCAAGGAGGGCGAGCTGTCTGTGTTTTTCAGGAACAACCACTTCAGCACTATGATAAAACACAAGGTGTTTACCAGCCTTCCCACACCTTCCAACACTCTTCATGGCCGCTAAGCTGATTATAAAAACCCCAGTGTCGTCAAGCCGCTTTAAACCCACCACCAAAAAAAAGGAAAAGATTTGAGGGCAGATTTATATAGCAAAAATAGCACAGAAGAATTTATTTATTCATATTTTTACCCCGTATAAAAAACATACATGAACTGGAATGGCATTTTGCTCAGATTTTAAGCAGAAAGAGGCTCTATAATGCAGATATTTTGCTTTGTAGACTTCTAAAACAAGTAAAATCACAATTAAAGTCACCATTTCTGGTGTTCATAGAAGTGGAAGTTGTCATAGTTGGGTAAACTTCTAGAGTGGTGAACTAAAACTAGAACAAATATAATTTTTGTGTTCCTGTTTGTTCTAATATCTAAAAGAAAAAATCCTTTCCAAAACAGGAAATAATATTCAGAGATTGATTAAGAGAGAACGATTTCAAATTTGCTGTCTCTCCCTTAGCCGTTGTATTAGAAACACCCACACACAAAAAACATATGATGTTAATAACTGTTGAAATGTCAAAATACAAGCTGAAAAAGCAACACATTTCAAGTTGGATGATAATGATGGTACTTGAACCTTATGGAAATGCATTTAAATATTTGAATGGCTTTGTTTCAGCTATTATCATTATGTTCAATGTGTGAATCTGCAGGGTCACCTTTACCTGCTGGTCACAGATCAGGGTTTCCTGCAGGAGGAGAGCGTGGTGTGGGAGAGTCTCCATAATGTGGAGGGGGATGGGAATTTCTGTGACTCGGACTTCAGATTGTGTCACCCATCCCAGAAACCCACAGCAGCCAGCCAGCCCTCCGTGCAACAGCAGCAAATGCAGATCGACCAGGTGGTAAAGGATTTTTCTTTTCTTTTTTGGCACAATGTAAGTTTAATATTACATTTTGAAAATGTTGCACCTCCTCACAATCCAGTCACATTCCGATGCAATATAAACCTAGTTCAGCCTTAGGTTATTTCCCACTGCTTATTCATTTGAACTCAGAAATGTCATTTTAAGGAAGTTAAATGTAATGAGAAAGACATTTCATGTTGGCATCTACAGAAAGATCGGTTTGCGAGTGATTGAATGTGTTTTCCAGGACTATCTGGTGGCGATGTCCTTGCAGCAGGAGCAGGGTGAAGCTCCGGGACCCTTGAGTGATCTTGAGCTGGCCAGACAACTGCAGCAGGAGGAGTATCAGCAGCCACAAACACAACAGCAGCCGCCCACAGCAGGACAGGTACTGCTTTCCCTGAGGAGGAAACCTGCGCATCACACTTTTCCTTGAGAGTAAATGGGCCTTATTCATGAAACACTAGCAGAATGAATGATCATCATGTGTGAATCATCATCTATAAACCACTGTGTAAATGAATGAATTTACATAAGAATAGATTCATGACTTAGACAAATTTGTTCTTCTTGTGTTATATGAATATCAGATTCAAACCCCAGAGAAATACACAACCTTTTAATAATATCTCCAGTCTTCAGTGTCACATGATCCTTCAGAAACATTCTAATATGCTGATTTGCTGCTCAAAAAACATATAATATTATAATCAATGTTGAAACGGTTTTACTGCCTTATATTTTTGCGGAAACATTATACTTTTTTCCCTCGGATGTTTTGATGAATAGAAAGTTCAGAAAACAGCATTTATTTGTTACGATTTGTTACAACGGCATTTAAATGTTACAAAACATTTTTTTTTACTTTCTTTTTTCCTTTACTTTCTATTCATCAAAGAATCCTAAAAAAATACTTATACTCAGCAAGGATAAATTCAATTGATCAAAAGTTCCAGTAAAGACATTTATTATGTTACAAAATATGTCACTTTTGATATCAATTTAATACATCCTTGCTGAGTAAACGTACATATTCTTTCCGAAAAAATATATATATTTTTTTTGTGAAATCTTCTTGACCCCAAATATGAAAATTCATTCCCTCTTGTCATTCCAAACTTGTATGACTTCCGATATTGGAATTTTCTATGAATTGTCATTGTGAAAATAAACAAAAAATCCCTTTTGGATGAATTATTCCTTTAAAACCAAACAGTTGTTAAATACCCTTCATAAACATCTCCCAGCTCAGTTACTGGTTTCCTCAGTAGTGTCGTGTCAAGTCACCTTCATTTATATAGCACTTTTCACAATACAGATTGTTTCAGAGCAGACATAATGCCACAAAGATTGTTTTGGTTGTACAGCAGATCTAGAAGAAAGTCGTTGTCTTGCTTTTGATTGATTCATTTTTGTTGTAAAACTCATTAGTTATTAATTTAGTGGCTGCTCATTTACACGACTACAGTGTTTTTGGTGTTAGTAGACTCACTGAAACTGACCTCTCGAGTAATTGTGTCCTTTTTTTCATCTCCCCACAGATGAGAGGTCAAGCCGCATCGCAGCAGGGAGGACAGAGGCGCCGGGAAAAGAAGGAAGACTCTGATTGTTGTATTCTTTAAGTCCGAGTCCACTCACCACCACCATAAGCAGACTCTCTAAAGCCACTTGAGCTTCAGTTAACATGTTCTTCTTTACCACTACTGAAACAAGGGACTTCACTCTTATCTGACCTGTCGTCCCGACACCAAGCCTGCCTTTACAGTACGGTTGTCCCCCTCGTTTTTGCCTTTCCTTAATCCTCATGGTTGGAACTGTTGCTCATCATTGTCTACAGGACCAAATAAAGGTAGCATCTGTTTCTAAGCACTAATGAAGTATCTGTTTGAGTGCTAGTATGGAGCGCCTAACTATGCCCTTGAAGACTGTATTGGTAAATAATCAGGTATTGTTATAAGAATTTAATATTACACTGAAATGCTACTGTCTCAAGTTGATCTGTACATAGTTTCATCTAAAGTGATGTACAGTACATTAAATACGCCGTACTCTGTGCTTTGATTCGCTCAGCACACCGTGGAGCTCCAAATATTCTGTAAGCTGAGCTAATAAAAGCCACTTCTGTGTTAACAGGAAATGTGTGGCCATTGATTTATGAAGAGTCATAACTTGTGCTTGGCTACTTGTTTTACACAAAGCAACGTAGTGCAGCATTTTTGGTGCAGAGTCATCATTTTGCACACACACACACTGTTTGGTGTTACTGTGAACACGTGGGCCGTGTATAAAGTCCAAGACCACTTGAAAAAATGCTTTTATTTTTGCATTGTTTTTTTAATATCATCGTATCCATTCTCCAGCATGATTCAAGATCTGCTTCTTTGAACATCTGTTCAAAGGAGTCACATGATCAAATATTTCTAAAAGGAGTAGTTTTGCTGATAATTTACTCACCCCCATGTCATCCAAGATGTCCATGTCTTTCTTTCTTCAGTCGAAAAGAAATGAAGGTTTTTGATGAAAACATTCCAGGATTTTCTCCATATAATGGACTTCAATGGGAACCAAATGGTTCAAGGTCCAAATGAGAGTGTCAGTGCAGCTTCAAAGGACTTCAAACGACACCAGACGATGATTAAGGGTCTTATCTAGCGAAACGATCGGCCATTTAAAAAATAAATAACAAAGTTTAAGTTTTAGAAGCACAAAATGCTCGCCTTGCTCTCTTCTGTGAAGAGCGTTCGTGACTCTCCTGAGTCATGACTCGAAGGGTCCTTGATAAGACATTATTCATCGTCTGGTGTCGTTTAAAGCCCTTTGAAGCTGCACTGAAACTTTCATTTGGACCTTGAACCGTTTGGTTCCCATTGAAGTCCATTATATGGAGAAAATCCTGGAATGTTTTCATCAAAAACCTTTTTTAGACCTAGTTCAGCCTTAGGTTATTTCCCACTGCTTATTCATTTGAACTCAGAAATGTCATTTTAAGGAAGTTAAATGTAATGAGAAATCCATTTCATGTTGGCATCTACAGAAAGATCGGTTTGCGAGTGATTGAATGTGTTTTCCAGGACTATCTGGTGGCGAATAATTTACTTTGTAAGATGTTTTAAACTAGGAATTATTTTAAATTGTATTATTTCACAATATTACTTTCATATTTCTATAGTATTTTTGATCAAAACAAAACTTTTAGGTGGTAGTGTATGTAGCTACATTTGTGTATTACATTTTTAAATTATGTAACGATTATATAAAATCTATAATAATGCCTTAATGTATTGTATTTAGCCTGAAAGGGTTAGGAATGAGATATTAGAACTATTGGGAAAATATGAGTTAGATTTAAATGCCTTTATAATATATATTATTGTGTATCATTAAAACATAAATGCAGTGAACATGGGTGAAGCAGTTCACAAACACTTGATATAAAGAAACACATCATACATATTGTTTATTAGTGCTGATTTATGAAAATGTGCTCACAGTCAGAGATAATTTCACTTCATTGTTTTATATGGAAGATGTCCAATTGTACACTTTTAACATGAAAAAACATGAAATACAAAAAAAGAAAAACTTTTCGAAAAGAGGACTTTATAAGTACAAAACAAACAATGTACAAGGTGCTGCATTTCCTCTTTTTCTCCCCCTGTGTGCTTTCCATTGAGAAAAATAAAGTGCAAGACAAACACCAGGGTTCAAATGTTTTAAAAAGAAACTGCCCAACTCCGAACAAATATCACAACCTTTTTAAAAACATATTCAATACACAAACCATGCATGGACTGACTAAAAAAAGAGGTTGTACTTAGATAATAACATAAGACATGTTAGATGTCTATGTTCAAAATGGCAGGGTAAACTCAGCATAGTACTGACACGCACAACAAATCAACACGTACGCAGATTCCACGGGGTTGATAGAAAAACGAATGAACAATTCTACACGACTCAGTAAGAAGTTAATGTGCTGGACACGTTCGCAATTGGTTTCTTTTGAGTTTGTCACAATGAAACATGAGAATTACCAACACTGATGGGTAATTACAACACACGATCGTCACCTTGACCACTCGCGTGACCAGCGTGTCATTTTGGTTTTCCTTCTTTTTGAGGGCAACAGTTTTGTGAGCCTTTACCAAACGGTAAATACAAATAATCCACTCCATGCTTCAGAGCGTAATCACAACCTCAGAAATAATGCAAAGAAAATGGATATTTACAGAGCACAGTGGTTTGTATGAGGCACTATGTTGTACTGAACGTTTTACATTTCTGCGGTGTGACATTGTACTTGCAACAAAAAAATGACATTATTTGTCAATGGATTATGAGGATATAAATAATCTATCCATGAATGGATGGATGGAAGTGATCGATATGCCCGAATGTCTCATTTATTCCCATGGAATAATATGGAAGCTCATTTCCGCCACAGAATAAAAAAAAATGAAAAAGGTGATTGCGGCATTTTATCTAAAAATTTCACATTTTCTTGCAATTACAAGTTTGTATCTTACAATTCTGACCTTTTTTTGAGTTTATAACTTCAATTCTGAGAAATAAAATCTGAATTGTGAGGAAAAAAAATCAGGACTGCAAGTTTTTAATCAACAAGACTTTATAACTTGCAAATGCAAGTTTATATCTCACAATTCAGGCTTTTTTTTTCAGAATAGCGAGTTTATATCTTGCAATTCGGACTTCATAACTCGCAATTGCAAGTTTGAATCTCGCAATTCTGACTTCATAACTCGGAACTTCCAACTTTCTCAATTCTGAGAAATAAAATTGGGTTTTTATTTCGCAATTCGAACTTCATAACTTACAGTACAATTGCGAGTTCTCTCAAATCTCTCAATTCGGAGTAAAAAAAAATAGAGAATTGCGAGATATAAACTCGATTGCGAGAAAAGTCAGAGTTGCAAGATTTAAACTGCAAAAAAAAAAAAAAAAAAAAAAAAAAAATCGGAATTCTGAAACAACTCTACTGCGAAATAAAAAGTCAGAATCGCAAGAATTCGATTGTGAGAAAGTCAAAAATGCGAGTTTATATTTCACAATTGTGAGAAAAAAAGTCAGGACTGAGAGTTTTTATCGCGCAAGACTTTGTAACTTGCAATTTCAAGTTTATATCTCACAACTCAGGCTTTTTTTCAGAATAGCAAGTTTATATCTTGCAATTCGGACTTCATAACTCGCAAATTGCAAGTCTGAATCTCGCAATTCTGACTTCATAACTTCAGTACGATTGCGAGTGCTCTCAAATCTCTCAATTCTGATTAAAAAAATAGAGAATTGCGAGATATAAATTTGATTGCGAGAAAAGTCAGAATTGCAAGATTTAAACTGCGAAAAAATCTGAATTCTGAAACAACTCTACTGAGAAATAAAAAATCAGAATCGCGAGAATTCGATTGTGAGAAAGTCAAAAAAGTGAAATTGGAAGAAAAAAAAAGTCAGGACTGCGAGTTTTTATCTCGCAAGACTTTATAACGTGCAATTGCAAGTTTATATCACAACTCAGGCTTTTTTTCAGAATAGCGAGTTTACATATGGCAATTCGGACTTCATAACTCAGAACTCCCGACTTTCTCAATTCTAAGAAATAAAATTGAGTTCACATTTCGCAATTCGGACTTCATAACTCACAGTACAATTGCGAGTTCTCTCAAATCTCTCAATTCTGAGTAAAAAAATAGAGAATTGCGAGATATTAACTCGCTTGCGAGAAAAGTCAGAATTGCAAGATTTAAACTCAGCGAAAAAAATCTGAATTATGAAACAACTCGAAATAAAAAGTCAGAATTGCGAGTTTAGATATAAGAAATAATATCAGAATTGCAGGATATTAAAAAAAGTCCGAATCACGAGAATACGATTGCGAGAAAGTAAAAAATGTGAGTTTATATCTCACAATTGAGTCAGGAATGAAAAATTTGTTATTTTATTTCCTGGCGTAAACAAGCTTCCATAAAATAACACTTTTAAACTCCTTTCAATCACTTTTCAGGTATAAAAAGGAACTTTCTGCTTCAGATTTGTCAAATCTGATTATTTACACTCATTGCTCAACCATTTCTCAGATCCACATTAATCTAATGTTCCAGTTTTCAGTCATTCATTTGAAAGTTCCAATTAAGAACTGTCTTAGTAAATGACTTCATTAACTGTTTGTGGTTATTAAATGTAAATTACATGTTTGCTTGTTTTTTTTGTCAATGTATTCTTTAAAAAAGTAAGTCTGATATTTTATTTCACTGGATACACAATTGCTGTTGTCAGGATATTGAGATATAACATTAGTATTCAAATCTCAAGACTGCAAACAAGGCAGAATGTTAGAACTGTGCACTGCCTTCACAAGGGAAAATAAAACATAGTACAAAACACAAATGATCAAAATGCAACAGGCCCTACCAATACCACAAAATAAAAGCTCCTGCAATTATAATAAAGATTTAAACTAATTTAGGTTAGTCTCAAAATTTAAACCTTGAGTAAACTGAGCAGAATTAAACATGACATATATAGCACATTCATATGACGAGCCTAAATGTGTTTTCTGCTGATTTTCAGGCTGTCTGACAGCCGGTTACCGCTTTGCTAACATTGTACCGTAGTAATCCAGCACCAGTGAGCAGCGGACGTTCAGTGCAGTCAAACTGCTGATTGGTGAAATCACTGCCGTGTGAATCACAATCATTTGCGTAGTTAAACCCGTTTCGCTTTTTTAAAGCACCATTACTCTTTAGTAAAGTTATCACTTCTACTCATTTTCCATCTCGCATATATTACTACAATATTTGAATAAATAACTACATCTGACTCCAAATCTCTTCATAAATAATTGGAGTGGCTTTGTTTTTAAACCAATTGCCTATTTGAAGAGATAGTTCACTGTGAAATTAATTTTTGGTGTGTTTTAGCTTACCTCAAGGGCATCCAAGATGTTGGTGTCTTTGTTTCCACAGTAGTTTCAATTTTGATATTTTTAGGTCAAACCAGTGTTTCCCAACCCTGTTCCTGGCGGCACACCAACACTGCGTGTTTTCTTTGTCTCCCTAATCAAACACACCCGATTCAACCCATCAGCTCATTAACCCACCTGATTATGAGCTGATGGGTTAAATCAGGTGTGTTTGATAAGGGAGACAAAGAATACACGCAGTGTTGGTGTGCCGCCAGGAACAGGGTTGGGAAACACTGGGTCAAACCGTTCTTGTCTGTCAGTCATATAATGGAGGTCTATGGTCACCACCTCAAAGAGCATGCACAGAGAAGTCCAAATTAAACTTGATTTAATGACTCGTAAATGTAAGTACACATTGATGGCCTAAGACACGAAACGAGCGGTTTGTGTGAGAAAACAAACAGTATTTATATCGTTTTCACCTCTTGTAACCACAGCCACAAAGCGCCCGCGCCCTCAGATCACTTGATCGAGGCTGTGGTAACGAGGTAAAAACGATATAAATACTGTTTGTTTTCTCACACAAACTGCTCGTTTCGTGTCTTAGGCCATCAATATGTACTTACATTTATGAGTCATTAAATCACGTTTAATTTGGTCTTCTCTGTGCATGCTCTTTGAGGTGGTGACCATAGACGTCCATTATATGACTGACAGACACGAACGGTTTGACCTAAAAATATCAAAATTGAAACTAATGTGGAGGTAAGCTAAAACATACCAAAAATTAATTTTAAAGGGAACTATCCCTTTAAGCCCTTTGACCATCAACAGCCTCTGCTGAGATCATCTTGAGTCGACTTTAAAGGAGATTTCCCATCCAATTCATAGCCTTTCAATACTTTTGAATTTATTAAAGCACATCAAATTAATTCAAAATAATAATTACGAAATTGCAAATAAATGACATTTTTATTTCAACACTTTGGTTAAGATCAAGTGTAATATCTGAAACACAAACCACTAATAAAAATTGTATTTAAAGGCTATAGAAATAGACCGAAATTCTCTTTTAAGAGACAATCAACACAAAGAGAAGCTGTTGTGGTGAAAACTTTGTATTTTTTTTTTATAAATAAATAATTAGTACATATTTCAGTCTAAATTTAAATAATATAATCAAATTTTAGAAATGTAACATCTAATTTTCTTTACATGCTTTTAGGGTGACAGTGCACACTTTACTAGTAACTAATAATAGGAATAATATTTCATAGTAGCAATATAGTGAAGATGGCTATACATTTGGAAAAAAAAAACCTTTTAGATTTAAATTACATTTTAAATTCTGGTATTCTTAACCTATGAAGATATTCTTCTGGGCTTACAGATAAACTATTTACATCTGTTAAGTGCTATTTATGTTGCTGTAAGAAAACAACTGGACAGACCTGAACGACCGGGGGGTAGGGTGGGGATTGAGAACGATCCCGAAATCACAGCCTCATTTGCATATTTAAAGGGATTTAAGAGGTCTTAATTTTTCTATCTACCTACATTGTGCACCATCTGAACCAGTAGTGTCGTCTTGACCTTCACAACAGCAACTAGATGTAGTCACTTCGAAGCTTTCTATATCTGTATCTATTTGTGACGTTAATAATACTTAAAAAACTGAACTCATAACTACTAACCCAAGCATTGGGTGAGAGAGGGACTTTTTTTTAGAACCCTGAAGTTGCAAACCCGTAATATCACTCTTTGTCTTCTGAACAGCTACAAACACACTCAAATGTCTCAATTCATGTTTACAAACACAAACATGCAAAGATGGTGAGAGCAATAAAAGATCGACTGCCCTTTATGGCACTGAGCCTGGTGACAAACGCAGACGGATGGTAAGCAGTTCTCCTCTAACTATGAATTGTCTTTTTTTAGATGTTTAGAACTGAGCTGGACTGTTATTTGTGAGTATATCTTTTCAATTTCCAATGGACTTTCTTGTCAAAACAGTTGAAACATTTGTTTTAGGTCACTTAAATTCATAATCTCTTCAACAGCATTCCTGAAATCTTCAGGAATTCACTAATGTGTCATGTTATTAATATGAAAATATGAGTGTAGTTGCTGTTTGAAGGCAACAATGACAGGTTGTACTTCTATACAATTTTTTTTTACACAGAAAGCAGACATACCCACTCAAGCTCAGCCAAGATGGTAAACCTCAGTTCACGCGATTCACAGAAGCACTGGAAAGGCATCGAGATCACGGAGTCTCTGAGAAGGAAGCCGGTTTGCTGTGCTGCCGTCACGGGGCGTCAGGTTTGGGGGGTTCTCCAGTCAAGGAGCCGAAGCAGATACCTGCTGAGTTTGGCATGGAATCGGCATGTGGCTCCACAGGAGTCAGCGTAATTTCCACTTCTCCTCTCTCCTCTAATAACGTTGCAGGCGGGAGGTACGAGATGGCGCTCTGTGGCACTTCTAGGGGAACGGGCCTTCCTTCTCTGTATAACGGCGCACGTTGGATGACCATCCTCCTGCTCGGTTGGTTGGGATCTTGCATTAGCAGGACGGACTGCTGCTTCTCGGGTTCTGGTGCAGGTTGACACTGCACCACTATTCCTCTGTTCTCAGCGTCTGTCACTTCCTGGATGGTCGGAAGTTGGCTTAGCATCAATCCTGGTTGGTCCTGGATCACAATTTCAACCAACTGCGAAGGAGTTGCGGGAGCACAAGAAGGCATGGCCTTTTGGATTACTCCTCTTGTGAGCAAAGCTGGATTTGGATTCGAGGTTTGGGCTGACTGTACCTGTGGTGCCACATCTTCAGGTCTTGGCTTTCTGGGTCGTCCTCTTTTGCGTTTTGGGGCAACGCAAGCGGCTGACACTGAGGTGGAGGGGTCAGGGCCCCTCTTTGGAGCCGCCGGTCGCGCTCTCTGGACGACAGGGGTTGGAGCAGCGGAAGTGGTGACCGTGACCGAAGTTTTCTCACGCTCAGGGTAAGAGAGACTCATACTTGATGGCAGAATCATAAGAGGGACGGTGCCGCCTGGTTGAGAGGGTATCGTTGTGACGGTAATGGGCAAAGTGACTTGAACACTTCCCGAATCGGCTGATGCTAGACATGGTGGGGAGGTTTTCTCTGGGACGGTGCCCCTGGGAAGGAGCTGAGGAAGCTTCTTCATGTAGGCCTCCACTCGGGCCGACTCCACCTTGTTGGTCGGTTTATCACTGACCTGCAGCTTATTGGATGGCGTCTGTTCCACACCGTCTTTCTCTTTCTGCTGCAAAACATCACAGTGACACTTTTTTCCTTAAAAGTATTATATTTATAATAGTATTTACTAACATTAATTTATTATCCTCAAGCCATCCTAGTTGTATATGACATTCTTCTCTCGGCAGTTATTTAAAAAAAATATCCTGGCTCTACCAAGCTTTATAATGGAAGTGAACGGTAGATTTTGAAGCCCAAAAATGCCCATCAATCCATCATAAAAAGTGGGGTTAATAAAGGCATTCTGAAGCAAAGTGATGCATTTTTGTGAGAAAAATATCCTTATTTATAACTTTACAAACTATAATCATTGACGTCTGGTAATGGCAGTATGCGAGTCTAGTTCCGGCGAAAGAGTGACCTCTGACCCGACGCATGTCGTATTGATGAACATGAAGTAAAACAAAACACAGTCACAAATTAGAGGTCTAAAGCGAGTATTTTCACAGAGAAATGACGGAGGAGCTTGAGTGTGTTGCCCAGCCTTATTTGTTTGAATTACGAAATGCGACTACTCTCACGTAAGCTTACGCTACTCCATTATACGTCGGGTCAGAGGTCACTCTTCGGCCGGAACTCGAACTCTGGCAAGCCAGTGATTATTGTTTATAAAGTTATAGATATGGATATTGTTCTTACAAAAATGCATCTCTTCGCTTCAGAAGGCTTTTATTAACCCTCCGGAGCCGTAAAGATTACTTTTATGATGGATGGGTGCACTTTTTTTGGGCTTTAAAAAATAAGCTATCATTCACTCCCATTATAAACCTTGGAAGAGTAAGGATATTTTTTAATATTACATCGATTGGATGAAAAAAGAAAGTCATATACACCAAGGATGGCTTGAGGGTGAGTAAATTATGGATCATTTTCATTTTTGGGTGAACTATCCCTTTAAGGATTTGTTTTGTGATTATGATCGACTGACTGTAAATTATACTACTTAGGACCTGGCTACTTAGTAAACAAACAAACAAATAAATAAATAAATAAATGGCCATTAAATATCTAATTCAGTTAAGAAACACATACAAATATTTGCAGCAATCTGAATCAACTGTTCTAGAGAGTAGAGCAAAAATGACTTATGAATCATTATGAATTATTCAGATTAATTTATTTGCATAGTAATACCTTAATTTCCCCACTGCCACTGTCCTCCTCTGCTCCACCTGCTCGGGAAGCTGCTGAAATCTTTTTGATTACCTTATGAGGTTTGGAAGATCCACCTAATAAAACCAGGCAAAATCAGTGTTATTATCATGAACTAAAACCATTTTATGTTCATTACCTGAAATAAGATAAAATATAAAAACAAACTTATTTTATTTCATCTAGCTGCCAAAACAACATTTCTCACTTCTCAAGTTGAAATACTAAAATAACTAAAACTTCATAAACACTACATAAACATTTTAAAAAAGAAAAACTACTAAAATGACAAAAGCATAACATAGTAACTAAATTTTAAACAGAAAAAAAATCTGTAAAAATAAAAAAAAAATGAACAAAACCTATAACCGTATAACTCTGAGCAAAATGTAACACGTCATCTTACTATTTACTTGACATGTACCTGCAAGAGCGGCTGAGGTGACGAGCTCGGCTTGGCTGCAGCGTGGGTTGACGATGTGCTCCTGCACGAGGAAGCGTGCGATTTCTACCACTGTGTCAAAAGAACGCTTTAGGATCTTTTGGGCCCAGTCACAGATGAGTTCACAGGCTGCTTCGGTGACCTCTTGCTTGTAGGTTTGCACCAGTTCTGTCAGTTCAGACTGGAGGTGGCACATCAAATGGGTATGTAAATACAATATTTTAGCATAAGCATATGTTAAAATGAGCCGATAGCCTGTATTATTTTCATGCTGTGAAAGCAAATTGGAGAAAAGGTCTGTAGTAATCATACCGGGTCATTTTTGAGGTCCAGGTTGGGCAGTAACGGCATGTTTAGCACGGTCTTTCGGCGTATCCCACTATAGCAGTATGTGCTGGAAATTATGTTAAGGGACAATACTATACACTATAAGGGACATACTATACACTAAGTTTCATCAAATTAAAAGAGATTTTAAGTCTGAATTCAGTTAAATGATTATCAAATGAATGAGATGAAAGACATATAAGACTTAAAAACCTCTCAAAACCAAACGTTACAGATATATTCCACCATGGAAAAATAAATAAAAAAGGTAATTGTGACTTTTTATTTCGCAAATGTGAGTTAATATCTCACAATTAGAACCTTATAACTCACAGTTGCAAAAAGTCTGAAAGGAGATATGAACTTGCGATTATGAGGTGAAAAAAAGTCAGAATTGTGAAATAAAAAGTTGCAATTAACCTTTCTATTTTTTAATTCTGTGGCAGAAACAAGCTTACATTGTATCAAGTGTATTGACAATGTGCAGAAAGCCATCTAAGTATCTGAAATATTAAAAAAATCTTTAACAGTGCAATGTGTGTGTTTTGATGACATTTATGAATCACTGTACAATCAATCTGATGATATGGTGGCTTGGAATTCTCTAGATAGGGTTTAGGAAATATTTTGAGGCAAAAATGTTTGGGTAACGCTTCCTTTTACAGTCCAGTTACCCATGTAAATACTATGTACTTATTTTAGTAACTACAATTACAGGGTAATAACTAGTACTAACCCTGAACCTACCCCTAAACCATGTACTTACCTTATATTAGCCAGTACTTTCTAGGTAAGTACACTGTAAGTACTGTACTGTACTGTAAAAGGAAGCGGTACCAATGTTTGTCTGTGTTTTATTGAAATTAAATTAAATCAGGGACAAAAGGATATTTGGACTGTCCTCTACCACCCAGTCTTCGTGCTTTAATGTTAGGGAAGATGTCTCGGATGATTTTGCCAAAATTTGCTGCACTTAGAGGCCGATGCTGTAAGTTGTCACAGTGCTTCCTGTTTAGATATAAAAGATGTCATTAAGCAATCATTGTATTTTTGTGAAAAACTGCAAACATGGATAGAAAAAAACAGATAATTCTCCCTTAAAAGTCTAGGTAAACAGCTGGAAAGTGTTTACCTCTATAAGATTTACATTTTTTAGATATAACCACGAGTAATACTGCCTATTGGGAGTATCGTAATTACAAGTTTTCTAGTCGTAAATTAGATATGAACCCCCTCTCAAGTCGTATTTACAACTGGGAAACTCATCATTTTGAAATAGGCAAGAATGATTCTGGTGTACTCCATGATTCCTATACTTTTCCGATAACCGATCAGTTCTTACCGGTATGTCTCGTAAACATCTTGTTTAGGCAGGCAGGTGTCAGGATGTTCTTCCAAGTGGCTACGGATCCAGTTACAGGTGTGAAGCTGGTCTGCTGTGTTGACTGAGTTTGAATCACCACTGGTGCACACAGAAAAGCAGTTAGACAACATGTTTCACATATAACATTTCTTGTCACATTAGTGTTATTTTTACCTCAAATATTACTCCTCACAATGGATATATTTAAAAAAATAAATTAATAAATACAACATTTTAGTTTAAACAAGTGGATCAAGGCTGACTGAATTTTATGACCAGTACCTCTTCTCTCCTGCACTTGGACCTGAGGGTAGCTGTAGATAAAGGTAGAGTTTGTCGTTGTCAGAGAAGCGCTGTACATCTTCCTGAGAGGAGACATGTCGCAAGGAGAAAGAAGAAATGAGGGGAGAAAATGCTCAAAAAACACTGCAAATGTACATGTAAACTGAATGAGAGTGTAATATTATACTATACAATAAGACACAGTTGTAACACAATATAAGCATGATTGATGGTAGCCTAGTTATTATAGATCTGAACGGCTAATGTAATAGTTGTGGGTTCAAATATAATATAACACAATTGCGCCTTGATGAGATAAGAATATAACGACTATAACTGAAAATACACTTGATATCAACTATACAATATGATAGATGTAAAAAAAAAAGACTGAAATCTCATTATACTTTATCCACTTACCAAAATTTTGTCCACTTTGCCCTGCACATTTTTACTGTGGAAAAAAAAGATAAGAAACATACATTTATATTTGTGCAAATAAAGATGGAAATGGGTTTTTTTCTAACATTTCTGGTATTTTTTTTTAAAAAAGGATGCAATTTCTGTGCCACTAGTATCAATAACGACCATTTAAAAAACGTTTTGACAAAAACTCTATACTGTCTGCCACTGGTCACAAAAAAAGAAGCCTCTCCCAAAAACATAGTAACTTTGTCACAAATCCATAATTCGAACCACGTTGGTTCAACAATTTAGTTAGATAATGACTTCACACACATGAAGACTTAACACGTGACGTGAATAAACCTCATTGGTTCTTGTGGAAGCTCAAACGTGCTGCGTAACACGAGAATGAACCTCATTGGTTCTTGCGGAAGCTCAAACACACTGTGTAACACGAGAATGAACCTCATTGGTTCTTGCGGAAGCTCATTGGCGAACATGCTTAAGTGTCTGTTTACCATAGCTGATGTGTGAGTTGATGAATGTTTGATACGTGAATAAAAGCTGGTCAGCGTATAAAGCAATTGTGTCTCTTCAGAAAATGTGGACTAAACTACTCAATTATATGGATTAGTTTTATGATCTCTTTATGAACTTTATGAAGCGTCAAAGTGGTAGTTGCTGTCAAAGGAGGGACAGAAAGCTCTCAAATTTCATCAAAAAGATCTTCATTTGTGTTCCGAAGATGAAAGACTTAGTTTTGAACGACATGAAGGTGAGCAATTAATGACAGAATTTCCATTTTTTGGGTGAACTAACCCTTTAATTTTAAAGGTAATACACCATTTCTTGTGGTAATATAGATTTAAGATCATATCTGAATCACAATGAAGTGAGTATAAAGTAGTAGTTCTTACGAAATGTTGCTCTTAAGCTTCTGCAGCAGCATACTGGGCTCCGTCTCCCCCTCCCCAGCCGAGGCTTCTGTCTTTACCTGATCTTCTGCCATGTCTCAACCACACTGGACTGACAAACTGCATTCAGAACCCTCCTGGACCTGAAGCTCTAGAAAGAATATGAGGCAAATGTTAATGTGTGTTCACACATTAGGCTTCGGCTAACTTTCTAGACTTCTAGAGTCTGATGTGCACCAGCATATTTTACAAAAGTAAATTAATTATAGGTTAATTCAGAGATGCAACCATGGCTTAACTAAGACAAATGTACTGTTAACTTATGCAACTAAATGTGAACAGTAAAAGTTGTAGAGTGTTTGCAGTTTTTAGACCATATTTGTGGTATTAAGTTTTTAAAAAGCACATTTGTTGTTTTATAGTATTTCTTTAATATGCACAACAACATACAGTCTCCAGATAGTCTTAGAACAAACTGCTTACTGGTAAACAATTAATCCGTCACATGTCTGTAAATGATCATCAGTTTCACTACAAACTAGGATATTTAGGCCATGTTTACACATGCAGCTACAGACTGTAAACACGCAATAAAACCACGCAAGCGCCTACTTTTTCCCCACGCCTAAACGCTCAAGACATTTTCCCCGTTTTGAAAATACAGCCACTCATGAAACTGTTGTCAGGTCAATCGGATAGCGACCATGCCCAAATACTGCAGGGCTGTTTTTCCTGCACCAGTCCAGACATTTGCTCATATTCAGCACACACGCGTCCAATGAAGATCTCAACATAAAATACTGATGCTTTCGGCCAGTGTATGCATAATACCAGGATCAAATCCGATCACTCCTTATCACTTAAATGCATGATTTAATCTAATATACTACTAGCGTACATGAGACATGCACAGTTCTGGTTAATTACACCCAGGTGTATCTCTATGTGGGCGTACAGAAAGGCCAACCAACCAGACACTAGACGAGGCCATTGGTTATTTATGACCAAAAGCTCATTTTAGTGCAAGTTAACCAAATTCCCAAACGCAACTTCTCATCGAACACTAGAAATAAACATCACAGTAGCCTAGTTTGAATGAGTGTGACTTAGCAGCTAATAGGCTAACGTGAGTTCGAACAGGCCGAAGAGACGTCGACTTAACGAAACCAACAAAAAACGAAGTTATTTTACTACAATTCAAATTATAATGATATAATTTGTAAAAAATAAATAAAATAAGTTAATAACTTTAGCTTTTAGTACATGTATGCACAAGCTAGCTATCGTTAATATCATTACCAGGCTGTTCCTATGGAGCTAGCTAGCCACACTTGTACGCCTCGAAAACCTTCGATTATTACATTATAATACCTAGTTTTTCTCATAAAAAAATACCCATTATCATTGTACAAAGTTTACCTACTGCAATATATCATTCAAATACAAAATAATGATACCGTTTATTTTATAAATGAAAAAGAAACTACCTGAGACAAATATAGAGCAAAAATCCCCTTTCGGCTTATTTTGTGATTGGACGACTGTGTTATGTCTGCCTGACTACCAAGCAAAGCTCGACGCTAGTTGGCTGGTCTGAGACATCCTACTTGGATACAGAATGAAAGGGCGATTTGATTGGTTGATGGTTTTATGCGAGCAGAAAAAAAGATAAGAGAATCCTTTTAATATTCTGTCAGGCAACTATCATTTTTGTGCACATTTTCATGAAATATAAACAACTAAATTGTTATTGGACACAATGATAGACATTTCCTAAAATATATAAAATTACTAATATGCTTTTGTATTGTGATATTAACACCAAATTAGCCTTGAAGTAGTAAGGTAAATTTACCTGGCATTTACTTGTATGTACTGAAAGCATTAATACAACCCATTAATAAATTTTAAGCTCAACTAAATACTAGCAATATGAATAGATTTTTACACTCTATATCTATAAACACACGTGCCTTTTAGGAAGACTTTCAGAATTATTATAAATTATTGCTACATTTTTAATGCTACAAATTATTATTATTATAGCAATTGCTATTGCTTTTATTAAACGATTACTATTTGTAAAACCTAACAAATTAAAATTATTTAGAATTTAATATGGTACCCTGACGCAATTTTTGCTGCTTTGTCTTTTCTTTCTTTTTAACGCCAAACGAGACTTTTATTTTGACACTACATTGGTTATCTCGAAAGGAAAAGGAAGTAGCTCATGTTCTACGCAAGTTTGACCCTTGTGGGTGATGGATTTCTGATTAAAAATTAATTTAGTTATTTATATAGATGTGCCTCTAAAAGCAGCAACAATAATTCAGGTAGGTAGAGTGCCACTCTATGATATGGGATCCGTTTAAAAACATCATGCACTCAATGAAATGCATGACATGTGTTATTCAAGACTAGATTCCACAGATAATTTATGTTTTTTTTTTTTTTTTTTTTTTTTTTTTTTTTAATTGTCCACCGCAGAATGAGACTGACAGCGCTGCTTTCGATGGCAGCAAAAGCTGCATTTCCACATGATTATCGTTACGGGACAAACAGACCGTGGACGATCGCAGCCAAGCGGCTCAATCCACCAGGCAAGAAAAGAAGAAAGGTGTTTGTTGAACCTATTGCAAATGAGGAATGGCATGTCCTGAGAGGAGACACAGTAAGTGACCCTTTATGTGTTTACGAATGAAAACATTTAATATGTAATTAGTGAAACTGAAAGGATGTTTAGTGTTTTATCCACCTGACGTCTTCCAAATCATAGGCATCTTTTAGTCCACTGGAATGTAAATTGTACTGATAACAACTGAACTCGGGGTACTGTGGAAAATAATATGTTTGATTAAAGTTGGCATGAAACGGAAGTTGTGTTCGTCTTTTCTTCTCTGTTGACGTATATCCGAGTGAAACGTCTTTTCGAACAAGAAAAAACGTAAGTCGCGCCCTCACGCCAGTAAACAAGTGATATGTGAAGAGAATAGAGATTATTACTGCGTTTGAAATTGTATACTCTTGAGTAGGTACTTATTTTGAATAAATGCCCTGTGACCGCTAGAAAAAATACGCTCTATATAACGTTAGTATAAATGTGAGTATGATTGTAATATGGACATACTGTTCACCATGTTGTCATTACCATGTGACCTACTAAGCACCCATTGCGTTTGTCAGTAACAACGTGTCTCCACAACCTCGCCCGAAGTAGTAGTAGGTTACTAGTAATTATGGATTATTTATTGTTATTACTATAGTAAGTACTTGTAGTAACATATGTAACTACTGTATGTCCCCTTAAATTAAAGTGTTAATATATATATAGCTAACATTTGAATTTTAGACTGGGGTCCCACACTCAAGGATTGTTATATTTGGAGGTCCATGGCAAAATATAACAAAAACCTGTTTTTAAATAATCACAATGCATATCTGACTGTATAACATGGCTTTTAAATCTATTTCAACTAGGTGGAGATTTTGTCTGGGAAGGACAAAGGAAAGCAGGGCAAAGTTGCTCAGGTGTTCCGGCGTCGAAACTGGGTCATTCTCGAGGGCCTGAACACGGTAGGAGTAAAACTTGTATTTAATAAGACTATTTTCTTTACGATTTTATTAAAAAGCTACATTTTAAATTGTTTTAAACATTTTTTTTCCCAGCATTTCAGGTATGTTGGCAGATCTGGAGATTATCGGGGTACTTACATCGCCAGTGAAGCCCCTCTGCTGCTGAAGGATATTGCACTTATTGACCCTACTGACAGGTGGGCGTTAATATTGCCTTCTGGAGCATCAAACATTCAATACAGTAAAACAGTTGAATGGCTCTAAATGTATGTGTTTGTGTCTAATGTTTCTTAGGAAGCCCACAGATATTGATTGGAGATACACTGAAGAGGGGGAGCGAGTGCGTGTTTCTGTCAGGACAGGACGGATTATTCCCAAACCTGTCTTCCAGAGAAAAGACGGCATCATTCCCCAGCAGTGGAAAGGTGGGGTGTCTGAGGAAGGGAAAGGGGTTGAAAGTTAAAAAACAATGAGTTATAAATATTTGAATCTTTAAATATGGGTTTATCTACCTTCCAGATGGACCCAAGGACACATCACCAGAGGACACGCTTCAGAAAACATACATGCCATCTTTGAAAACCCTTGAGGAAGAAGTTATGGAGAAATTAAACATTCAGGAAAATAGAAGGCCTCGTAAAAGCTACTGGTACTGAGTTACCACAGAGACTGTGTATTGTGTTTGAGATTAACAACAACAGCAAGATTATTTATCATGGAGAAATAATGTGTGTGTTCTGCAGACTTTGTCAATAAAACTAAACTAATGTTATACTTTGTTTCCTTGATTTTATGCCACAAACACTTTACCAACCAAAAGTCATTGGCTTATTTTCTGTACAAATGTATACTACGATTCAGATGTTTGGGGTCAGTAAAAGCTTTGTTTTTAAAAAAAATACTAAAGAAATTTATAACGTTATAAATTATTTGTAATTCAAATAAATGCTGTTTTTGAACATAAGAATATTGAAATTTTTTTTTCCACAAAATGATTTACATTTTTCACCATATTACTGATTTTACCTTTTTAAAATAAAAAAAATGCAGCTTTGGTGCGCATTAGAGTCTTCTAAACAAAAACAATGAAAAATCTTACAAATCCCACTCAATATTCTGCCTAAACATTAACCGACTTGACCTCTTTACCTCAGCAACAAGAAAACTGTTCAAATAATATTCACAGAAAGACTTTGGGGTTATCTATCCGTCTATCTCCACAACAATTCCTAGTTTCTCTCTATATAATATTTATGCATGGTATTGAGTTATGTTTTTGCAAGGGTAATGACATTCTTGTTTGCATTTGTTTTGTTTATTCGAAGATTTATTGTCATGGTTCGTCACGGCCATTGATCAGATTCCACTCCACGCCAGTTGGTGTCAGTATCGCGTAATCCTCTGAAACGGTGCAGCGGATGTTGAGGAAATCCTTCACGATGATGGTGGAAAACAACTGTTTATGGGTCTAAATGGTTAAAGAGGAACGATATGTGTATTAACAGTTATTGCTTAATTATTTAGACTATTAAATTCGTGTGTTATTCGCGTTTTGCAGAGAAAATATTGATCTAAAAGCTGAGTTTTAATGTAATCACGGGTCCTGCTGCGAGCGTAGATTTATCTGGAGGCGAATTTGGCATCGATGTTGTGATTTAACGTTAGATTGAAATTTACACACAATATTTGTCCAAATAAACATGGAAGGACCGTACAGAATGATATGAGATCGGTTGAGTTCTGTTGTCAGCGATTCTCGCGTCTGATTCACTCTCTTATGAACACATCTGATCTGTGGCGATGTCTCTAGTAGCGTACGACAGCAGCGACGACAGTGATCGCGATGACTCGCCGGGTTTAGTCGCTCGACCTGCGGGCAAGATCGGCGGACTGTTCGCTTCTCTGCCCGCGCCGAAAAAAACACAACAACCATCAGTTCCTCAACCTAAGAAAGTTATGGACCTGCCGAAACCCAAGAAACGCACAGAACCCGTCAGAATCACCGTTCCTGAAATAAAACCAGCAGATGTGAGTTTTTTCTGAGGTTTCAAAGGCAAATTATTTTACTTAAAGTCTTTCTGATTGATGGTGTTTGTCTGTTTTAGTCCGACTCTGACGATGACGAGCCAGTACGAAAGAAATCAGCTCCTCAGGTATGGATACCTATTTATTTATTTATACAGCTGTACTTTATTTTAAATAAATATTTAACCTTCTTCTGACCCTAAGAATTAAACATTTTGCACATTTAAGTATGTAAAATATTATTACATTTATAATTATAAGTGGAAAAACTACATTACCCATGAGCCTTCCCATGATTTCCACCAATCAGAGAATCGTGACAAGCAAATTGTTCCACAGGAACTGTTTAACACCAGAGCTGTGAATAACATAACCAAGTCAGATGATATTTGTATGTGTGTATATTTTTCAATAAATATAAACAATAACATCAATAGTTTTATAGTTCTCCTTTTTTTAAGCAATGAAGTCATTCACAGTGCTTAATGGGATTGTAGTTCTTTAACTCATTAAAGCTGTTTAGTGCACAGTCTTGTACTTTCTTTTTGTCTGATTTTCAAATACCTTTTTGCTTCGAAACGAAGTTTTTAAATGTTGTGAATCACCTTAAAGCATGGTAGTTTGGTTCATGGCTTGTAACTCTTAAATAAATACTTAAAAATGTCAGATTTCAACACATTTTTCATTAATGTGAAAGAATAAATGATCTGGGTAGACTTATCTCATAGTAAATAAGAATATTCTCTTCCAGGGAGGTGGTGGTCTGTCCTCTCTGCTGCCCCAGCCTAAGAATATGGTGGTGAAGGAAATGCATCGGCCCCTGGTGCCGCACACCCTAACCAAACGCCCTGGATCGGATAAGCCGAAGGCAACAACAGGAAAATCCCAGGGTGTTTCTGGAACCAGCCCATCCCCGTCCGCCATTAAAGCCGCTGCAAAGTCAAAGGCGATGCAGTTAGCCCAAAAAATGGCCGCCGATGAAGAGGGAAGTGATGATGAGGTCGCTCCGGAAAACTACTTTTCCCTACCAGAGAGCTCATCAGAGCCTGTGATGCCAATAAACCCAGATTCTCAGCAGTACGTTCCCACTCTACACCCTCCACCCGCTGTGGAAAACTCTCCATTGGACTTTGGTTCTAATGCAGACAGTTACAGTATGCCAGTCGGAGCCATTCAAGATGGTCAGAAGGAAGAATACCCACCGCAGTATCCTGAGAATCCACTGCCCGAGACTTCTCCACAGGTACTTCAAACACATGTTCTTGTGAAGAAGCACCATACATGCTATTACTTGTCATTTCAGCAGCTGATGCTTTTTGCATATGTTTGACAGGATTACCTCGAGGAGGGATATTACCAAGACCCAAACTCTGCAGCCGATGAGCAACACGATTCAGGCTCCTCTTCAATGTTCAATGATGAAGCAGTGAGTTGTTTGTAGCATCACTATTTTTTCTGTATTTAAATATTATGATTTTCTGTATTTATATGGATTTCCATATTTTCCAACCTGAAACTCACATGAATTGCTTAAATCCAGGGAACAAAATTCAAATACTTTTAATTCACAGCCATAAATATTTGTATTATTATTCTGTGGAAATAATTCTTATTTTTTTGTTATTATTGTTTTTATTAAATGTTAAAAATATTTAATGTTTAATTAATTTGTGTATTTAATCATTATTTAAAAAAAAAGTTTACTGTACAATAGAATTACTGCAATCTTAATATATGTTATTGATTTGTTCGCTTTAGTTTTTTTAATAATAGATCATTTATTTTTATTCAAATATTCAAACTAGTTGCAATAGTGTTATTTTTTCATTGATTTGTTTATTGATCATTTATTGAAATAATTAAAAAAAAAACTTTTTTTGTTGTTTATTTTCAATAATTTAAAACTACATTTTATTCTTAGCCAATCACATGCCTGATTACTATTGCTCAAGTATATATATATATATATATATATATATATATATATATATATAATCTAAGTATTAATCTTTGGTGTGCATTTGTCCAGTTCTGTTAAATGTTTCTTCATAGATCTTTTATTTTTATTCAAAATAATATTTTGTTTTATTTTTCAGTACAATAGTTGCAATAGTGTTATTTTTTCATTGATTTGTTTATTGATCATTTATTTAAATAATTAAAAAAAAAAATTTTGTTGTCTATTTTCAATAATTTAAAACTACATTTTATTCTTGGCCAATCACATGCCTGATTACTATTGCTCAAGTATATATATATATATATATATATATATTTTTATCTAAGTATTAATCTTTGGTGTGCATTTGTCCAGTTCCGTTAAATGTTTCTTCATTCACATCTTGCATCTAGTTGAGGTGTGCTGATACTTTTCCAAGCAAATATACTTCTATACAGTGTTATAGAATAACAATTCTATAGTGTTTTTTTTTCAAACTTTGGCCAGTAAGTTACCTCTTAGCAACCACCAAGAACACCCTAGAAACCATCTAGTGCATCCTAGCATCATGATGTTTTGCTGATTGACCAATATTCTGTGTATTCCTCCAGTTTCGTCGGCTGCAGGGCAAACAGAATCGCGGAAGAGAGGAAATCAAGTTCTTGGAGATCAAAGGAGATGATCAGCTGAGCGGCAATAAGCAATGGATGACCAAGAACATGTCAGCGGAGGCCGAGCCGCGCAAGTCCTTCAGCAAGGTAAGCACCTCCAAATACAAGGCATTACATGAGGACGTTTCAGTTCAGACAGATGCAGAAGTTGCTAACGGTGTCCGTTTTCTGAGGGATGGAAATAAATGAAAGAGAGAGACTGACCTTTCCATCTCGTTTTTCAGAAAAGAGGAGATCAGCCAACGGGGCAACAGAGACGCAAGCACCAAATCACATATCTGATTCATCAGGCCAAGGAACGCGAGCTGGAACTCAAGAACAACTGGGCCGACAACAAAATGACGCGGAGACAAACGCAGGCCAAGTATGGATTCTAATGGACTGGATATCAGGATGTTTGTATTGTTTCACAAAGGAGCGAAGGACTGCTGTGACTTTGTTTAAAACGGCTCCCAAATGTCTACCTAATACGGTCTTTCCATTTGAACAACATTGGGTTTTGTTATGAGTTTTAGTTCTGTCAAAAATCACTTGTAACATTACAGTAGCTGTGTGGGTTCACATGATGAATTGTTTGTCCGATAGGGTATTGTCTTCCACTCTGCCATCGTAAGCAGTGGCATATATAAAACGTTATTGACTAGACACTTTACAATAAGGTTCTGTATGTTAACATTAGTTAATGCGTTATGTATTGTGATTTTTTTTTATTATAGCATTTTATAAGTTTGGTCAATGTTAATTTATGAATATGCTATTGTTTATTGTTAGTTCTTAATGCGTTAACTAATGTTAATGTCTAAAAAGTAATGTTTGTGTGTAAATTAATTCATGGTTATGTATTGAATCTTATTGTAAAGTGTTACGAAAAAACCTTGTAAATCTTAAAAAGTGTTTGAGTGAATCCTCCCAATCCTGGTTTGATTCTTTTAATGGCTCGTTTTCATTTGAATGTAGATTCGTAATCAAAAACCCTTGTGTAAAGTGTAACAGTTTCATGACACCTATAGGAAATGTACTAAAATGTTTCATTTTGTGTGTAAAAACACTTTTACGTGTGAAATAGTTACTATATCACTGCCAGAAATAAAATTAAAAAAAACATTTACCTGAGCAAAATAAGGTTGGTTCACTATATAATTTTGACTTTTACAAGATTTCTACATAGAAAATATGGGGGGATTATGTTTATGCTTAATGTGTAAATATGTCTCAAAAAGTATGGATTCAAGCCACAAATATTAAATTGAACAGTGATTTAATGTTGAGTTTGGGTGTTTAATTATATACTTTTAAAAAAGTGGGAGGGGGAAAGTAAATTTTTTGAACTTGAACACGATTTCACATGGAGTTGCCAAGTCTGTGGTTTTCCCTCGGAAATTGGGCTGCTTTTACATTATTTATACGAGTTGATATTTTGTTTCCATGGACCGCATCAATAATATCGTAGAATTTTGACGCTTCCGCACTGATATTTTGTGGCTAATTTTAAACCCCAATACTACCATAGAGACAAAAGACTCGGGAGTCTCAGTAATCTGACTTGTTTTACTTACAATGGAGAGAAATATGACAGGCAGAAAAGAGCCATTAACAACCCTACCATAGAGACAAAGGGTGTCTCTGAAAAACAGGATTAGCCAGATATCATCCCCCTCCTCACCTTGAATGCTAAATTCAATGTACATAATCTAAATTAATCATATTCTTGACCCTCTGGGGTTCTTTGTTTAACAGTCATACTCGGGAACTTCGGGTCAAAATTGACCCAAAGGGCGGGATTCATATTTAAAAAAAAATCATCATTTTTTTTTTTTGCTTGTTTTTTAATAATATTTTTTCTTTTCTTTTTTGTTTTTTTGAGAAAATTTCAAAAATACAAAAATTTTAATGCAATAAATATGACCAAATTTTCCCCCATTGAATATAATAGAATATATATATATATATATATTTTTTTTAAAGCTGTATTTCATTTTGGAGTCAAGCCTAGGCCTCATAAAAGCAATTTTTGAAATTAGATGGATGCCATCTCATGGACAAACTGAGCTTTTTAAAAATGCAAAACACATGTATAATCTGAATTTTTTGGTGTGTTTGTGTGTGTGTGGATGTGTCTGTTTTGCACTCTTGATGTTTTATATATTCACCCCTTCACTGTTGTGTGCTTTTTTCAAGATCGTTGCTGATTTGTAGATTGTACGCACAAAAAAACTCAGCATTTTCACATTTTTACCAATTTCCCATTCATTTCCTATGCGGGTCATTTTTGACCCGAAGGTCCTGAGTGTTTGTAATCTTGTAATCCTTTAGGTTGATGATTTAAAAAAAAAAGACAGATGTAGGCAAAAGAATGAAAACTAGACGGGAAGAAATAAACAATCGTTTTATTTGTACAAATTCCTTATGTATATTCTCCAAGCTGCGTCCAGCAAAGAAAACACTATTCTGAATCGGACTGTTCTTGCTTTTGTTGTTGCTTCTTCATCAGCATCAGTTGGCTGGGCTCCACATACGGCACCACGAACATGGGCACCCTGACCGTGTCCACTCCATTCACCTGAGAGACCAAACACTGTTCAGATAGCAAGTTCTGCCAGAACTGATTCAATCCCATTAGTGTAAAATGATCATAAAACTGTGTTGTTTGCACTTATTAGTTGAGTTACCGTGACATCACACCAGTACTCTCCAGGCCCTGTGATTGGTTCTTCTGGAAGAGTCAAGGCATGAATCGGCACAACCACACCGAGCTGAGGACAAAAATACAGTCAATGGTACAAAACCACTGCCAACAATGTAGGTATGTTTACTTTTTCACTGTTTTACATTTTATGTTGTGTTTAAGTTGTGAAAAATTAATATTTCCTTTTAAGTGTCTTACCCGTCTGAGAAACTGTCTGCAGACAATCTCTTTTGTGAGCGAGTACTGAATTGAAGTGTGCATGGCAACTTCAAGCTGTGTTTTCTTCAGGAATTCAACAGTCTGCAAAATGATGACACCAATATATTAAACTTGCAATTTTGATTTAGAAATTATGTTTTATAGTTAAAACACACAAGATAACTCACTAGCTGTCCCGTGCGTGTCTGGACTCGGTCCTCTGGCCGTCCCTCACGCAGAAGCTACAGGAAAAACCAAGCAAACTGTGAACACTTGAAATCATGAAAACCCATTTCCACCACATAGGAAAACCACATGCTTTGGTAAATCTTAATTATGACACAAAAAGTCAATTATGAGAATTCGAAATTCAACAAATTTAATAATTGAACAAAAAGTCAACATTATGACATGCTAAGACATAATTATGAGATAAAAGTTTGAAATTATGACAGAAGTCATAAGTGTGATTTGATCCAGAAACAAGTTTAGTTACGCTGGTTGAAAGTCTCTTCACATTCCCATGGCAATCCCTAAGTTAATATGTCAAAATGTATTTATATGTAAATATTTCGTCTGTGAAAGGTGTGCAAGATTACAAAATGTTTGTCCAATCATCGCCTTTATTCCAAATGCAATGACCCAACCTGCCTCTCAATGTATTTTCAAACCTCCATCACACGTAATCAGTGCGTTTCATGCTACGCAGAGTTAGGCCGGATTCACATATAGCGCCTAAAAACACGTAGAAAACGCTTACCGAGCGCGTCGCACCGCAACCGCATCGCTTCCATTATGAGCGCGCCTACCGCACGCCTACATTTGAAATAACGAACTTGAGCGCGCAAAAGACGCAATATGTGAACAGGCCCTTAGTCAGTCATCGAGGACCGCCACCGAAACAGCAGCCACCTTTTACAGCTCCTCCTGAACCAAAACAACGAGCTTATGCTGCATTCCCGCCATAACTACTGTTATTATTGTGACGTTATAGTAGCAGTTCACGACTAAAAATTTATGTTTCAATGGCAACACTAACAACATCTCTCATGACGCTTTGCAGACTCTGCTCTGCTGTGCGTGTTCATGTGTTTTGAAGGAAGCTTTGTGGACGCTCTGAAGGGAGGGTGGGCTTACACTTTCAAAGCTAACTTGCTATTGTTAGCCTTTCCGATAAATTGCCTACCCTACCTTTAAGTCATCATTTTGACTTTTCATCTATGTCATAATGTTTACTTATGTCATAATTATAATTGACAAAAGCATGATCTCTTTTGTTATGATTTGTAGATGTAACTAACCCTTATTTCCTCTGCAAACATATCTTTATTTTCCTGTGAAGGGTAGACAGCCAGGCCTTGGGGTAGCAATTTGTTGCGGCCCAATGATTTTTTCACAAAAACGGTGTCGCCTCGTCCACCAAGCTCTGTACAATGAATATAACATTAAAAATCCAAACGAAAAACATTATGATGTTTTTGTAATGTAAGATCACTCACTGGGCACGGTCTGGGAGAGGATGAGCTCCATTTTATCTTCGGAATTGTGTTTTTTGTCCTCAACCAAGCGGTACACTCTGTGTCTACGAGGATGTAGCCTGGGTGGCTTTCCTTCCTTTGATAAAGGAACCGTCCAACAGCGTTCAACAATTACTGTATTCTAGAAGAAGATTAAAAAGTCAAAATTTGTGATGTGTTTTCATCCCTACTCCATCCTCAAAGTCATTTCAGTGAAACTCCATTACATATGTGCTGAACTACTGTTTATCTGTGTCTACTGTCTAGTCATCAGAGTCAGACTAGACACAAACAATATGAGCAATGACGAGAATGTTCAGTCATCAGTTTATAAAATTATTGTTTATTTGCAACTGGGCAAGATGAAGTCTTAAAAATAACTGACAGAAATCACTACAAATCTGCAGTGTGATATCAGTCACTGCGTTATCAAAGATGTGCATTTTCTTCTGCTTACCTTGCACGCTGTTTGTGACAGATTCTGTATTCGACTCAAAGATTTTAGATTTGAAAGATTCCAGCAGCTTTGAAGGACAAACCTTGATGATGCTACCGCCCACATGATTAATATATACGTTAAGATTGAAGATTAATGCATTTATTTAGTTGCAAATAATTATCATAGCCACCAACCGTAACACGACATAAATACTTTATCAAAATTCACAAATATTTCAACAGATATAGCTCACGATCTGTCATTGCATTCACTACAACACATGAATATCGCTGGGGTGATAAAGGACCCCTAAAAGGTAGTAGTGTATTTTGCCTGACAAAAAATGTCCGCAAGTTTGTTTAGTGAGCTGAATTTATCACTTACTTTAAAATATTAATATAGCACAGCACGTTTGTTTTCCAAATTGGCGTATTATATTGTAAACAAATATATAAACATAAATATATAAGAGTTATGACGTTAAACATAACTAGTTCCCCAAGTAATTCAGTTTCAAAATAAAAGTCCTTACTCAATAAAAGTCTTAATTTCTTCTATGGAAGCGCAATGAATTTACGTAAGAACATTTGACAAATTTTCTCTCCTGAGTTTGTAACCTTCATGGACCACAAGTTTTGTACATTGAGTTTTTTTTACAGTCAAGATTGTGAGAAGTTACACTAAAATAAACATATATGAAAAGGCTCTTTATTGATTTGTAAAGAATATAAATCAACAAAAAAAATTGGCTATGCATCAAAGTCTTGTAAAACATGAAAAATGGCAGTTAGACTATTCATACAAAACAAATAAAGAATGTATAAAATGTCTCGACATGCACTGAGATTCAAATTTACTACCATATGTATTAATTGAAAAAATAAATTTGGTAAACAAGAGTGTAAAAACAGCAGGGAAAAGGCCCAACAAATTGTATACAATTATATGCAATGTATATGCAATTTACATGTCAATACAATTCAGTGAAATATGATGGATTCAAAAGTCTTAATTACATTGAAAATACACTCACAAAGAAATCCTTTTCAGAAACATGATATGATTCATATAATAATTACATTGAAAAAGAAGATATATCGATAGTAACTGCAAATAGTACTGTTACTGTTAATGTATCATTGTCATTTCACAAAATTCATGGTCTGAATAAATAAATAATTTGTAGGGATCTTACATAATCGCTTGCACATCATGAAAGTTTAAAGAAAGGGGGCTTTAGATTATCAGAGACAAAGCTGGATTTTAACAAACTCTGTGTGTGCATAGTGTTTCTTATGTCATGTTACGGACTGTGGGCTTTAAACTGTGTAATTTTAATGTTTAAGACCACAAATGCACAACTTCGATTACAATAAGCCCTTAAAAGTATAATTTCAGAAATGTGTCTGGCTAATAATGACAATCATTAAAGCTCCACACCACACACATCCTCATTATGATGTAAAGAGCATACAAGATTTAGCAGCTAGTCCTTTAAAATTCAGTTCAAGCGGACAGCAGCGATCCTTCGAAGCCTAATATGATCTCAAATGTAACTGACTGATGACATGCTGCCGTAGCCTCTAATACTGAAGCAAATGACTGGGGTCATGAAACATTAACACGTTTACATCATCACTTCACCCAGCAACACATAATAATCAATTATAATAGAATTAATTATATTAATGGAATAAGAATGGGGTTACATTTTAAAATATTTGATAGCATTTTAATGATTTAAACTGTAATTATTTTATAAACAGTACAGGCTATTTTTGAGTTGGGAAACCAAAGGGTCTATAAGACGCCATATACACTGCTGGTCAAAATTTTGGTATTAGATTAGATTTTTAATTATTTTGAAAGAAGTCTCTTATTCTCACCAAAACTGCATTTATTTTATGAAAAAAAAATGTAATTTATTCCTGTTATGTCAAAGCTGAATTTTCAACATCATTACTCCAGTCTTCAGTGTCACATGATCCTTCAGAAATCATTCTAATATGCTGATTTGCTGCTCAAGAAAGTATTATGGATTATGTATATTTTATGGAGCCCCGCACATGCAGAAAAAAAAAATCAAAAATGATATATATATATATATATATAATTTTTGATTTTTTTTCTGCATGTGCGGGGCTCCATAATATATGTATATATATATATATATATATATATATATCTTGTGACCACCAAAAAAATGTTATCTCGTTTTAGTAAGTCGTGGCCACGGTTTACTAATCCGTTCCCTTGTTTTAGTAAAATTGTGGCCACAAATTAAGAATTAGTTTCCAGGACGTATTAATTTGTTCCCTCGGTTTAGGAAATCATGGCCACGTTGTACTAATTTCCTTCCACGTTTTGATTTAACAAAAATGATTACAACTTATTATATTTTTGTAAAAGGAAACAATTATTATATCACTGCCAGGACTTACTAAAACGTGAGAACAAATTATTAATTTATGGCCACGATATATATATATATATATATATATATTTAATTATTTATTTATTTTTTCACTTTTTGGTTACCAACATAAAGAATATCTTCTTTAGTGTTGACAATTTATATTTTTGGGTGAACTATCCCTTTAAAACGAAGGAACATATTAGTAAAATGTGCTGACCGTGTACATTATTTTTTCCCGTATGTTATGTTCGGAGCTCTGTAGTAAACAGTTTTATACAACAATGTTTTTTTGGGGGAAACTGTGATACACTACCACTTAAAAGTTTGGGGTAAGATCGAGCTTTAAAAAACTTAAATGAACTTCTATTCAATGAAGTGACACTTAAATCATGTTACAAAAGTTTTCCCTTTTCTATTCATCAAAAATACAGGTGAAACTCGAAAAATGTGAATATTGTGCAAAAGTTTCAGTAATTCAACTTAAAAGGTGAAACTAATATATTATATAGACTCATCAAAAGGCTTGAAATACATCACTTTGCATGCAATGAGTCAATATAATATAATAGTTTCACCTTTTAAGATGAATTACTGAAATAAATAAACTTTTGCATGATATTCTTTTTTTATTTCACCTGTATTTTCTTAAGCAGCAAAAGAAATTCACCATTGATGATAATAATAAGAGCCATCATTAATAACTGACCAACCAATAATGATTGACAATAACCAAACATCAAATCAGCATATGAGACTTATTTCAAAATGATTAAAAATCTTAATTATTACAAAAATCTTGACTGCCAGCCGGTGTGGCTAGTGAAGCACCTAATTGCAAAGCATTGCTCATCTTAACACAAATCCCATCTGCACTTATATGTATATATGGTAAAAGAAATTCACAAAAGTTTTGAGAAAGGAGGTAGAAATAAAACCTTGCCTTGAAATGAGCATGATTGCTCTACAATCACAAAGGTAACAGGCAATCGAACGAGGGCACGGCTTCATAGACAAGAGGAAACAGCCTTGGTGTGTTTCCTGAACTATGACAGTGTGAGAAAATCTGACTTTTGTGTTATAAAATATAGTGCGGTTGCTTCCTTAGCAAACACTTATGGCTCTCGCGGAAAAGTTTAGTTAACTTAAAAGTACTGTATATAAATGCGTGTTTACATAAACATTTAGAGTAACATAACAAAGAAAAGGTTGTATATTCACCGAAAGCACACATATGTAGCAAATAAATGAGCAAGGCTATTTTGTGAATATAAATGCGGAATATTGGAAATTACTATATCGTTGTCCACACAACAAAAACTAATGGGCATTGCTTTGGCGAGTTAGCTAAAGAAAGAAGCAGCAGCGCCCATGTGTAATAGGATTCATGAGAATACAATGCAAAGATTTTTAAGAAGGCCTCAAAACTGATTTCCCCGACTCAGACATAGTATGTCCAGCCAATCAGTAACACTAGAGGATAATACTGGTATAGTAATGATAGCACTTGATTCGGTTTCAAGGTCAAAATGCCTTGAGACAGAATCAATAAAAAAATTCATGTCTGTGGAATTATTCTAAATGCTGATTCTTTGACTCACACACAAACACACTTCCATACATAGTTAAAAAAAAAAGAGTGTTTTGAGTTTTGGAGTGCTCCCTGGTACAATCATATGCCATGTCTGACACGTCTTCATACTCTTCAGCATGTGCAGGGCAGAGTTGTAGTGTTTGACCCACCTAGCTGCCCCACTGCCATTAGAAGAATGTCTTTCTTTTCCTTATAAAACCTCAGCTCCCGTCCCGCCAGACGAGCCTCTTCCAGCTCGCGCTCGGTGGCGGCCATCTCTCGATTGATGGTTCCGGATAAAGTGTGTTCTCGGCTGACCCAGTCGGCGGCCATTTGTGTACGCATGTCGTCGTCCAGCGCTCGGTGCGAGTAATGAGCGAGCACTTCCTGTTTACAAAAGGGGATGATTGTTATACATGCTGTGGACAGGTCAGTGAAACACATATCGATGCGTCAAATAAATATTTACAAGGGACTAATAACAAATAAAAAAACTTATACAAATAAATAAAATCAAGCTTTTTGTGCCAAAATGTATATTTTAGATTTCATAAACATTTTTCCAGTGTTATTTTAGTTTCATTGAGATTCTATGATAGTATTAATATTTAGATTTGTTTTTTATTTTTCTTAAATGTCATATTAGCATTTAGTATTATTGAGATACTATTATACTTTTTATTAGGGCTGTCAAATGATTAATCGCGATGAATCGCATCCAAAATAAAAGTTTGTGTTTACATAATATATGTGGGTGCACTGTGTATAATTATTTTATATATATATATATAAATACACACACATGCTTGTATATATTTCAGTGAAATATACTGAAATATAAGTATACATACTGTATATAGATTTATATATAATTTATATTATATTTAAATAATATTTAGATATAATATAAATTATATATAAATCTATAAATATTTTATATATAAATATATATATTTTTTAAATATACATGCATGTGTGTGTATTTATATATGTATATATACACAATATAATTATACACAGTGCACCCACATATATTTTGTAAACACAAACTTTTATTTTGGATGCGATTAATCGCGATTAATTGTTTGACAGCCCTACTTTTTATCAATATTTTGATTCGTTTTTTAAAAATATTTTATTTTTATTTTTTTTAAATATGTCTATATAGTTCATAACATGGTTCTCACTTTAATTAACTTTAAATTTGAAGACTTTCCAGGTCCAAAACCCTCAAATTCAAGGACTTAATGTGGGGACACATTTGTTGTGTCCAACAACAAGCGTTGAGGTACCATCATAGTGAACATTATGGCAACGTACAACACAAAGTACCTCACACGGGAAACATTTAACGCAACATAAAGTAATTTGAATAAATAGTAAAGTTTTGAGATCTGAAAGTCACAGCATGTTTTCCTAGTGCTCTAAACTTTTATTTCAAAAGATGAAGGACTGTGTGATTCATCATGAGATTACTTTTTTTGCAACTGAAAATTAGATTTGTCAATACTGTCTCACCTGACGGGAGCACTGCCTTTCTCTCATGGCTTTGAGACTACCATTCCAATGGAGAAGCTGGAAAACTGTCATCAGTTCCTAAGCAAAATGATAATAATGTTAAGTCACATGTACATTTACTCACATCTTTCCATGCAGTCCAATCATCATTTCACTTACCTGGAACTCTAGCATAGACTTCCCCTTATTAGACTCCAACATGAAGCGAAAAGCACCGATGCCTGTGCTAGGATTATCAGCTTCTTCTCGGTTTCCCTGTAGTAAATAAAGATAAACAATGTCAACAATACACTACTGTTCAAAAATTTGAGGTCAATCAGATTTTTTAAATCAATTTATACTTTTATTTAGCAAAGATGGATTCAATTGATCAAAATTGACAGCAAAAGGTGGTGTTATAATATTATAATAGTTAATAGTAATAGTTAAAATATTTCAAAAGCTGTTCTTTTGAACTTCCTATCTAACAAAGAATCCTGAAAAATGTTTTATTTAAATTATTTCTGGCATTTTAAAATATATTAAAATAGTAAACAGCTTAAAATTGTAATAATATTTCGCAGTTTTACTCTATTTTTGATCAATTAAATTCTTATTACTTGAAAATGTTAACATTTCTTTGACTACAGCCCATGAGTCACATGATCTGCTTTTATTAAACTTGAAAGCTCCAGTAACTGCATGACAATCAATCAGCACTTCAAATCAAATCCCAAGTGTTTTGAAGAACATGAGGGTGAGAAAATTAATTCTTTGGGTGAACTATCCCTCTAACCGAATAAAGATTACAGTGAGAACTCACGTTAAAAGAGGCAAGAGCCTCACACACACTCTTCTCTATGAACTCATCTGTGATGCGTCGAGATGGATGCTCATTGAAAACAGAATTCATTAGGGCAATTTTGGCCGCGCTCCGTCTCGCTTCGGCTTTGGTCGGGCAGAACTGAGAAGATCAAAGATGCTATTTAAACCACACTGTAATCGAATCCTGAAGATGCTCACAGAATTCACGTCCAAGAGATCCTCAAGAGAAAACATTAAACAGAAAATATGCAGACACAGATGGCAACCAAAACACAATTATTTATTTTTCGGAAGATCTGAGGTTCAGAGAGAGAGATGCGTCGGAGAAAGCAAAGGGAATGTTGCGTGAGGTGCTTGCCTGAAAACTCCCGAAGCAACTGCCCCCGGGGAGACTGACGTAGCAGACGTAAGGAGGGTTGTTGGACGGGACCATCTCGTAGACCACAAGAGCGCCGTTCCTCAGGTCAGCACCCCGTGACTGCTTCATCTGCCAGAACTCCTGTAAGGCCTCCACGACATTGACTGTGGGAATCAGAAACATCGTATCAGAATATACAACACCATTCAAGTATATTTTAAGACTCACGAGTTCAAATGTAGCTTGAAGCAACGGCAATCACATATTTTTATATTTAAGTTGAAGCAACTTAATAGTACTGAATGCACACAAATACATTGGACGGATATTTTAAGGGTCAGATCAGGTTTATATACAGTACGTCCATGTATATTAACTTTAAAGGTGCAGTAAGCAATTTCTGAGAATCATTGTTGAACACTGTTTATGAAATCAACCCCCTCCTTTCATTGCTCCGCCCCTAAAATGCACAAACACGCAATGCAAGAGTGGATGTGTCTTTATCATAGCAGAAGCAAAGCAAAATGGAGCTTTGTGAAAAATTAAGTGAAGATGATGACCGAACGACAAGCAAGTCGTGTGTGTAAAACTCCAGTTAAAGTATTAGGTAATTATTCCCTCACAAATAAATCTTACAATGAGTAAAACTGACTGTGTCTATATTGTGATAAACTACAAAGCATTATAATATTGTTTGCAAATTTATTTTTAAATCATTATTATTATTGTCCCTGGTTTATTATGGTACTAGTGTTAAGTAGCAGTGCCTGGAACAGACTTTAAATGTCAGCTCCACTTAAAAAAAGATGCAATGTAATCCTGATTACATTAAATAAACTGCTCCCGAGCAGGCTTGAGATTACGGATCTGTTGCCATGACATTCCGGGATGAGCTTCGAAGAACCTAACAATCCTGGATCATGTCAAATCGTTGTATTGAGTAATCCATGTACGAAGAACGAACCCCCAGTAAGTCAAAGAGCGAGTAAATTTACTATTGTGCAAATTTACATGTCCTATTGTAAATGAATAGTATACTACTAACATGGTAACAATTCAAAGCAGGTTGAAAATTGGTAACTTGCGCTTTAAGTTTGTTTAGATAGCATGATTGAGGGCTAAATAACTTTTGCAAAACAGTTCATAAATCTTTCGCTATGACTGTTTCAGCACATGCTCATTCAATGTCTGATATAAAGGAAGCTTGTTGTTGTGGAATTGCTTATAGTTTCTAACAAATGGTGGTTATTATGGACAAGAGTAATGTGAAAATGATCACAAATGTATAAAGGTCTTCTTCTTCGGTAAATGAAAGATGAGCTTGTTACATTGAGATGGTCTGAGGTGTCTCGGCGGTAGATTAAAACACTTAACCTGCCTCTAAAGTGCACTGGCAACAGAATTTATCCGACAATAATCCCTTCGGTGTAACTAGGTCAGCATGTCAGGGGACTCAATCTGCTTTGCGCTCGAATCGATTGTTGTGCTAGTCTTGTTAGGGGGCTGAATCTTTTGAAGAACATGTCTGGGTAATATTTATTTCAGATAATATTCCAATTTTAAATTAATTAAATTAATTATATATAATGTTAAAAATGTATTTTTTAATGTATAAAAAATATTATTTGCATTAATTTATTTTTACATTACAGCAATGATAAAAATAAGAGGGATGTGCTTAATCGTGAAAATACTGGCACAATGGGAAAGAAATCATAATGATTCTAAATATATGTTTGTTTTTTACTGTTTTAATATTTAATTTAATATTTTTTTCTTTTGTCTTTTAGAGAATGAGATTCAAAACCCATGCTGCTGAGAACACATTTGTGAACGTGTTCGCTTGCAATATCTTGCATGTGAGTCAAAAAATAAATAAATAAATAAATAAAAAAAAAATATATATATATATATATAATTGTTTTTGATCCAGATCTAGCTTATTTAATAGTTAAAAAAAAAACATCAAAAATGCATTTCTTAGAGAGAATGAGGAAACCCTCTCCTATTACGATCATATTTATAATTTCTGAATTAAAGTCATATTTTGCAGGGCATATATAAAGTCAAAGTCTGGGTGGTAAATACACAAAAATACAATTTTTTTTATTAACATTTGAAAAATTTACGAGTCTGCCAAATTTAAGTCAGTCCAACATGCAGAGGCAATTGTGTTATGAAAATGACAAAAACAGACAGATGTGAAAATGACAAACAGCCTTGTGTTAATAATCTTAAATATTATATATTTTATGCTTTTTATGAAAGGGTAAGCCTAGTTCTGGTAAAGAAACCACAGTAAAAATGAATGATACTCATTATTAAAAAATTAATTTGTGAAAATAAAAACGTGTACTCTCATGTATGTGCTCAAGGTGCAAGTGAAATACTGAATTACTTTTTTTTTTATGTTGGTGACACCACTTTTTGCATAACACAGCTTAAGTCATTAAATTTTTTAAGTAAATGTATAATATGATATAAAAAAATCCTAAATATGCATCAACTTGTATAGAAGAACCATATTTTAATAACCTACACATATTCTAAGCACTTACATTTAGAACTATATTTTTAAAAGCTGTATTAATTATCATAGTGCAAACATCTCCATGTTGACCCCACATACCCCTGCCATATCCTTGCGTGTGTTTGGCAAAGCTCCTGACCACCGCGTCCACCGCCTCCCGCAGAACCGCCGGGTTGGTGGGATTGGACAGACCCAGACCCGCCGCCATGTCCACCGAACCGAACCCGCTGCCCATGATACCGGACCCGAGGGTATGGAGCTGAAGGGGCGGCAGTGGTGGCGGTGGCCCCGGGGAAGCAGACACCGAGATGCGGGAACCCTGTGCCGAGGAGAGAGTGCCCGTTACACCGGGCCGCAGGGACCGAAGCGTCCCGGTCGCGCTCGCTCCGTATCCGATACCGGGCTGTAAGCGCTGATGGCGTAGAGACTCCATTGTCTCGATAAGTGATGCAAAACAAACCAACACAAAGAGAACGACTACTATAAACGATAACAAAGCCGATTAAAAATGCATATGAAAGTCATAAAAAAGTGTTTCTCAAAGGTATGCGCTTTGTTAGGCTGATTGGGCAAAATATTATTTACTGTTTGAGGCGTAAAACTGCCATAGGGAGGAAAAAGGAGCAGCATAGCCTATGCTTGTGTTTGACCAATGGATGGATTCATGCTGCGTGACGTGGCACGTCCGGCCAAACCCTCCCAAAATGCTAAAATCTGTGTAACAAAATCAATACAAACAACGCAATTTTCAAATATTTGTTATAGGCTCCATGTGGATGTATATTTGTGTAAATAAAGTAATCTATACAAATCTCACGCGCACAAAAAAGTAGAAACTAGAGAGCAAAATAAGATGGTTGACATAATGAGTTTCCCCTGCTTCCATAGCATACTGTGATTTTGATAAAGTAAACTAAAATAGCGTTCTTGAGGCAAGACACCATAGGTGAACAGGCTTGTTAAAAATATTAACTAGGAATAGATAGTAACCTACGTCCAGGTGATTACTCGCAGTACATTAAAACATTTTTGTCAAATGTTTTGATTAAATATGCAAATGCAGAATAACTTGAATATAATTAAATCTGATAAAATGTTCACACACTTACGGAATCTAGAATTTTGATGATAAAGGACTAGAAATGTTATTGTTTTAACTATATATATATATATATATATATATATATATATATATATATAGTGAGAGTTGCACTTAGAAAAGAAATCTGAGCATTGAATAAAGCCACTTGTTTAATTTGGTTAACATATTAGAGTTAAAGGATTTTTTTTTTTTTTTACAGAGAAAATACTGCAAACAGCCAAAAAATAATAAGAAGAAAAAAAAAAGACAGAAATTTGTATATTTTAAGAGATTACTAATTTTAAGTTGTATGTTTTCTTTCCATTAGTCAACAAGACTTTATTTTATAGTAGTAAAATAGTCTAAAATCTCAAAATTGACCAGTCCATAACAATGCAACATAAACATATCAGACATTCAGCAGTGTTGAGTTTGGTTTCAGTAACAAAAGTATGATATGTTTTATCCATCTTTCATGGCAGTTACATAGTATTTTCGAGTACACCTCAGTTTTTGATTGTTATTGGCTGTTCAATGACAGAACAAGCATCATGTGAATCAGAATGTTCTTCTCATTTAATGTAATGTATTATATGTGTTTATACATGTAGATGTTTTCATATGTTTAAAAACACCCTCCCAAAAAATCTTGTCTTAACTGGAAGCTTTTGTTACAATAGCACTCTTTGTACTTGTTAATTTGCACTACTCACCACGTTTATGTAATCAATTAAAAATGAGTCAGTTGATTCTTTCTGTTTAAGACCATGAGTGTGTTACCAATTTAGTTTTTTTTAAAAAAACTTTAATTCCCCTTGGAGCAGTAGGCTATTGATGATAATTAGTGTTGAGCTAAAGTCCCAAGGGTGATCATATGTCTCCTGCATGGTTTATAACAAGCTGGTCTTTGCTGTCAAAGAAGTAAGATTGAAATATAAAAACTGGCAAGAGTTCTGGAAAGTTCACTGAAAGTATTCACGAAAACAGCACAAAGCTCTTGAAATGTCTGAGCTGCAGTCAGTGATTACTCATCGCTCTGTGGTTCCTCAATGATCCGGTTGCAAGCATTGAAAAAGTTCCCTCTATAATGGCACTAGAACATTCTGCAAGTCTTATGGTCGCCATATGCTACCTTAAGGGGCACTGCTATCTGAATAATATCCAGATCCACAATGCCATACAGCAAAATGCTCAATGCAATATAAAATTCTGCTGACAAAAGGGTCCCCAAAACATATTAGGACACTTAAAAAGCAGATAATGTCCATAACATTAACAAAATATCAACCATGTGATGTAACCTTTTTCTCATAACTAATTTTAATTTTATTTTAATTTTTTGAATGTGTAAAATAGCCCACAAGTTCACAACGGTGTCCCCAAGCAGAAGTACAAATTAACTTTGGAAAAAAGTGTATTGTTTGCTTCAGAAATTTAATGGCATTTAAATTTTAATGGCATCCCCAAGTCACTTCTGTGAATGGCACAGAAACTTGCAAAATATAAATACCTCACAACAATGTATGATGTGGCTCTCTGGAATAATTGATTCTAATTGGTGAATAGCGCCATCCAGCGGATAGATAATCAATTTTACAATTGTCAATGTCAGTGCTGTAGCGTAGGCTATATCAATCCGCGAATATATATAGAGAAGTGTAATTTATTAATTATAAGTTACAGCATCATTACTCCAGTCTTTGGTGTCACATGATCCTACAGAAATTATTATAATATGATGCTCAAGAAACATTTCTGATTATTATTATTATAGAAATTAGAAAATACTTTTATTCATCAAGGATGAGTTAAATTGATGAGTTAAATAAATCAAAAGTTACAGTAAAGACATTTATAATGTTAGAAAAGATTATATTTTAAATAAATGTTGTTCTTTTGAACTTTCTATTCATCATAGAATTATTTTTTGGGGGGGCGGGGGGGTGGGGGGGGGGTGGTACACGACTGTTTTCAACATTGAAAATAATAATTAATGTTTTTTGAGCAAAAAATCAGCATATTAGAATGATTTCTGAAGGATCATGTGACACTGAAAACTGATGCGTAATCAGCAACAGCAATGATGTTGAAAATTCAGCTTTCAAATTACATTTTAAAATATATTAATATAGAAAACAGTCCTTTTAAATTGTCATAATAGTTCACAATATTACTGTTTGTCATTTTTTTTCATCAAATAAACCAGACTTGGTGAGCAGAAGAGACTTCATTTAAAAACATAAAAAATCTTACTGATCTAAAACTTTTAGTAGAATATATATATATATATATATATATATATATATATATATATATATATATATATATATATATATATATATATATATATTCATTCTACCGGTCAAAAGTTTTAGATCAGTACGATTTTTTATGTTTTTAAATATATATATATATATAGTATATTGTACCTTAGCTACTGTAGTCTATCTATTTGATTTAGCTCAGAATATCTTAATTACAAAAGAACATGTTGCAACACAAGAGCAATGTTTATTTAGGCCAGTCCAGCTGTTGCAGACAGACATTTGGGAAGTCCCAACAGATTTAGCTCTTGCTCAGTAGACGTGTCAGTACACTGCTGGAGGAGAACATGTCTTCTCCCTATATATAGAGAGTTCATGCATGTTGTCGGGACAGTCTTTACTCCTCCTCAAGTCAATGATAAGAGAGTACTTCACGTTTAGATTGTCCCTCACACCTGCGTTTGTCAGTCACAGCTGAAATGAGCAGTCTGTCTGAGCGACACGACGCTTCATTCCCATTGGCTGTGAGAGGATCTGAATCGGAGTCCCGTTGGAGAGAAACGCAAACTCGCAATTCCCGAAGTTGCGAAGTTAGCGAGACGGATCGTGCGTGTGGAGAAATTAAACGACTACGGACGGAATAACGTGTGCCCAACTCGACTGAGGCCGTTTTAAGCACGGTAAGCATTTTATATAAGAACATCCATCTGTAATGCGTTCGTAAAGATTCTTGTTTTATGCGGAAGAGGGTTGTGTTCATTCACCGCGGCGTGTAGTGTTGCCTGAAGGCTGAATCGGCCGCCGTACATAATGTAAATACGCAGCCGACGTTGTGCATCACCATTATGATGATGACAGCTCGTCACCGAATCTTACATGTCCATCTAAACGCGATAAACAATAGGCCAGGAATTCAGCGAGGCCGTCCGACCATTTTTGGTCCCATTTAAGGGTGGCTTTAAATTCTGCAGCAGTGTTTGTGGGTTCTGTGTGTCTGGTGTTATGTAATAGCTGTAATCGTTGTTTTGTTGCCTGCATCGGTTCTCTCTCTAATTGATTAAATAAGGTGTACAGTCCGCCTGTGTGGATTATATAATAAGTGTGCTTAGGTTCACTGATGCTTGAGGAATGCAACAAAACAAAACAGATATATTTATATGTATCTGCATTGTATTTTCTGTAAATCTGTTCAGAATATGTTTATGCTTTATTTACTATACATCTGTTCATTGTTATGTATTTAACGTAGTGAAAGATTCCTCCATTTTCTCACAAATTGTGTTTTTCCTTGTCTGTCACTCAAAATATGTCTACACTCAGGTTTTAACACAATGAGTCAAATATTGGATGTAAATATTGACAAATCTAGCATTCACTTGAATTATTGAATTAACCGAAAATTTTGCATATCACACATATTAAAATGGTCTTTAGTAACCCCTTGGTGTCAAATATTGCTTGCAACTAATAGAACTTAAAGAAATTATCTTAAATTCTCTTTTCCTATAGATTTGTGTGGGTTAGGTTACCGTAGTTGTGTAAAAACATATAAGCACAGTTACATATATAATGACATTTTTATGTTAAATTGATAGAATTTTTATTCCATGTTTAAAGAATCAATGTGCTTCAAATGTCAGCCAAATATATATCAAAATGTAGAACAGTACTGTGTGCTGAGCGTTGCTATAATTATGAAAACAGGATACTTAACAAGGCAGCATTAATGTAGCTAGCACTCATTTTACTAAATATGATGGTCTGTGCAATACATTGAGTATTGAACTAATCTGCATGTGGTGATCTTCATTATGTAGGTGCTGTGCAGAGCCACAAGAGGGCCATGTCTGATAACAGCACCGGCAGCACCGGGTCATCCAGTAACAGCTGGACGCTTCTCTCTCCAGAGGTTTGCAAACCACTTGGTCAAAATGCTTGGGTCAGTGATATTATCTTTTGAATGAATGAATCAGGTGTTGTAGCAATGTGCACTTTTGATTTCAGGAAGCTGCCGCAGACCCTGCAGCACCAGTGGATGATGGGACGGAAAGTATTGGGGATGCACCCAGTCTTTCAGAGGAAATAGCAGGTTATTGGAACAGATAATAAACCAGTTTGTTTACACAATTGTTCAAAAGTTTGTGGTCAAATACATTTTATATAATTTATATTATAAATAAATATTTTATATATAAATATTTTTTCTTAAATATACATGCATGTGTGTGTATATATATATATATATATATACACAAAATAATTATACACTGTGCACCCACATATATTATGTGAACACAAACTTTTATTTTGGTTGCGATTAATCATTTGACAGCCCTTATATAAATGTATGTATATATATATATATATATATATATATATAAACATTTTATACATTTATTCTGCAAGGATAC